TGAGGATAAGGTTAGGTAATGTGTATAATACCCACAGCACTGTTTCTTGTATATAGTAGGCACTCCATAAACAGGAGCTGCTATTACCATCTTGATCTAGAGTTCTCCAAGAAAAGGGGGTGCATTGGGAAGTCATCCTCATCCTCACCATAGTTAGATGCAACAGCAGCCAGAGCTCTCCCAGAGAGCACTCCAAAGCACTGATCCAGCTTCTTCTACTCCAACAATCAGCATGTTTAATGGGGTCCCCCTGTGGCACTGCCCTCAGCCCCCTCTGAGGTTCGCACACCATGGGCACGGACTCGATACAAGCATGTGAAACGGGGGTGGCCCCAGTTGCTTAGAATCTGGATCTTCACCTTGGGAAAGGCAGCTGGGGGGTCATTCTGGGGAGACAAATGGATCATGCCACGGGCTACCCTCCTCCGGGGTCATTCATCTCTCACTACCCCAACTCCTTTCACATCTTCACCCTAGAGACAAACACACCTGCAAGTGGAAAGTCTGAATCTCCGATTTCTCAACATTGAAGGTGAATTTCCCCAAGAAAACTTCAGTCTCATCATCAACTTGGAGGCCCTGGTGGGTGAAGAGTGAAAGGAGGAACCGTGAGGGCACGAGGTGGAGGGGGGAGAAGAAAACTTTGCTGAGGATCCTCTATATATTCAATAGCTATATGCATGTTCTCATGTATTTTTTGATGGTTATGTGCAGTAATTTAGAATGTGGGTTCTAAGAAACCAGGTTTTAAGTTTTAGTCCTGTCAATCGTTAGTTGTCTTACCTTGGACAAATATCCCCTCTCTGAGCATTACTTTCCCCATCTTTAAAGAGGAAGATAATAATAGTACATCATAGGCTATTGTGTAGAGGCAATGCCTGTAATCCCAGCATTTCACAAGGCTGAGGTGGGCAGACCATTTGAAGTCAGGTGTTTGAGACCAGCCTGGACAACACAGCAAAACCTCCATCTCTACTAAAAATACAAAAACTAGCCGGGCATGGTGGCACACGCTGGGAGGATAAACACAAGAATCGCCTGAACCCCAGAGGCTAAGGTTGCAGTGAGCTGAGATTGTACCACTGCACTCCAGCAACCTGGGTGACAGAGTGAGACTCTGTCTCAAAAATAACAAGAATACACGTAAACTGCTTGGCACGGAGTAATTGCTCTACAAGCAATAACTAATATCTGGATATGGTTATGATTATAACCTGCCGCAGCTCTGAGAGGCAAATAGTATCTTCACTTTATAGATGAGCAAGCAAAGACTCAAATAATGGCAACAGTCCTTAGGACTACTGGGGCTTTCTAAGCAAAAATCCCCCACCTCCTGACCTCATCCGCACTCACAAAGACCGCGAAGTCACGGGGGGCGCTGTCGGCTCCTCCGGTGTGCGCCACGCTGGGCGGCGGATGCTGCAAGGTGATGTCGCTCAGCTGCACCCGGCTGGGTAGTCGGATCACCACGTGGCCTTGGTCGCCCTCAAAAGCCCAGCAATTTCCGGGGGACACGTCGGGCTGCAGGCGGGCGGAGGGACCATTGGAACCATGGGACAGAGCAACTGCTGCCGCTCCTCAGCCCAGGCCTCAGCTCGATCCCATCCAGCGGCCCGCCCAGAGCTCCACCTCCAGCCCGCCCAGGGCACCGTCTCCAGCATTGCCGGGCCTCTCCTTGGATTAAACGCCATCCTCGAGCCCCACCCAGGACAAGCCAGGCCCCGCCTAGCTCCACGCCCTCGGCTTCGCCAGGCTCCGCCTGTGGGGCGGGATTTTGGTCCTTTCCCCAGCGTCCAGCCCCGGGTCCCATCCCGGGACGTTTCCAGGCTCACCTCCAGGATAACCGTGGGCGGCCGCGCGTAGTTCCAGAAGCTGAAGCGATTCCAAAAGTAGGCAGTGTTCCTGTCTGCGTAGTCGTGGGATGTCTTCTCTAGGTCGATGGAGGCTCCTGGAGCAGGGAGAAGTAACCCTCAGGGGTTCCCAGGCCTTGCCGGGAGTCGGCGTGGTGGGGGCGGCAGTGGATCTGTCCGAGCCTCTGTCCGGCAGTCTGGTGCATGAGTCTGTCTGTGTCAGTGTCTCGGTCTCTCCTGTCTGCGTCTGTCTGCCAGTGTCTCCAGGTCTTACCCACAGAGCTCAGCGCATAGTCTGGCTTTCGCACAAAGTCCTCACTCAGCCTCTGGAACACGAGCTTGGCCACTCTCTGCAAGGAAGGAGGGCGAGGCCTGGAGGGGCGGGGCTTGCGAGCTGCTTTTACAGGTGGGCAGGACCTTGGGGAACTGAGTGCTTTGGGTTGGACTTCGAGGGCCCGGGAGAAATCCCGCAAGGGTCTGGGCGGAGCTTAAGTCTCAGGAACCTGGGAGCAGGGATTCACCAGGGGTTTCCAAGGTGGGCTGAGGCTCACCTCGCTGTTGGCTGCGCGAACAGTGGACACCTCCTTGTGGAGTTTATCGAGCTCTGCCTGGAGCTGCTGCAGCTGCTGCCCCTGGGAGCGCACGCGCTCGTGGTACTCACTGGAAGTGGGAGGTGGGCGCCGTGGAGTTGGCTCCCTGTCCCCCTGCATACCTTCAAGGCCCCCCACGCCTTCAAGATTTTCAAAGAAACAACTTTGAGCCCCCAATTTCCCACCCTAGGGGCCCTCTTTCACCTTAGAGTGAGCATCTCCTTAGGTTCCTGTTGGAGGAAGGGACAAAACACAGAGCCACTCAGCTCCCGTCGCCCTTGCTCCTACCTCAGCCTGGAAACCGCCAGACTCGAAGGGCTTTCTTTTTGAAGACTGTGTCCCCTCTCCTCGATTCTTCCTTGACCTCCCAGTATCAGAAGCCCCAAGAGACCCTCAAGTACAATCCCTCACAAATCTGTTTAGATCCAGCCTTCTTAAGGACTGTATCCCCTACGCCAACAGTCCAGGGGACCCCCACAATCTCCAGATTCACAACCTGCCAACCCCCTACCCCAGGACAATCTCCGCAACTTACATTCTCCGAAGGAGAGACCAGGTACAGAAGCCCCAACCAGATTACTGGAGAAAGTGGGGAGGGGGGGGTCTTAGAGGAAGGGAAAGAGAACGGGTTTCTCTGGCATACGGGAACAGTGGGAAGAGGCTTGACGGGGTTAAGCTGGGAGGGCGGTGGAAATCTAAGGGGGAACTAGAGGGCTCTGCAGGGGAATGCCAGGAGCTGCAGGAGCGAGGATGTAGGAGAAAATGTGCAGGGTTTGCCTCCAAAGCACCCAGGACTGGGGTTCCAGGGAATTCAGTGCCCCTCACCTGCCAGAAAGAGGCTCAGCAGCGACACAGCCGTGAACAGGAAGCGGATGGAACAGACCTCCCTGGGGAACCGGAGGGAGGCTGAGGCCCCGACCTGCTCAACCCTCCAGCCCCCACCCCAGGGTTCTAGACCCAGCTCCTGCCAACACCACTCAATCGGATCTGAATTGGCCCTGGGGCGCCCGCGTCTCTCCCTCTGACCTGTATACGCTGACCAGGGCGTTTCCTGCCAGGGATAACGACACCCTCAGCACCTGGAAGAGCAGGCCTGAGGCCAGGACAGGGGGTTCGGAGAGGGTCCCACGGCGGAGAGAGGCGGGGGCTCAGCGAGCGTGGTGTCCGGGTTCAGAAGGGGCTTGGGAGGGGCCGCGGGTGGACCTGGGGCTCAGGAAGAGAGGGGTGGGCTAGGAGAATTAGATGGGGGCTAAGAGAATGAATGGAGGTTCGGAGAGGGTCTCGATACTCAGACGGGGTCCAGGGGCTCAGGGAGAACTGGAGTTGGAGAAGGGAGCCCTAGGGTCAGAGGGGATCGCGGCTGGCCTGGCCCGTACTCAGAAAGCTCTTGGACAGCCGCGGGGGAGGCATCTCCTGCCTCAGATCCAGAGTCGGGAGAAGGGCGAGCGGCTCCTCAGAGACAACTGGAGACCCAGTCGGTTCTGCGGGAACCGAAGGGCTCCACTGGGGCCTTGCGCACCGCGGACCCGTCTTCCCCTCGATACCCGGCTGCAGGTCCCTCGGCTCAGAAGCCAGAAAGTTGGGCAGACTCCCACAGGCCTTGGTCGCACCGCAGCCGGATCCCGGCTCCCACTCCGCGGCCCCGCCCCTCGGGGAGGCTCGGTCAAGAGTTGGTCCCACCCCCAGACGGATGACCCTCCTCCAGCCTTAGGTCTTGGCGGAGCCCAATTGTCCTGGAGTCACTCACGCCAACACTGAGGCCGCGCCTCCTCAGTGGCGCCCAATCACAAGAATTTCCCCGCCCCTTCCCATGCCGTCCATCACACTAAGGCCCCGCCCCTTAAGGATCTCATTTATCCTACAGGCCCTACCTCGTATGGGGAGCCCAGACATCATCTTAGCCCCGTCCCCGCCCGCCCTTAGGTCCCGCCCCCTCCATAGGCTCACCCGGGGTCGACCCCGCCCGCACCCGAGGCCCCGCCCCTCACGGTTGCCGCGCCACAGGCGGTCTCCGCGTTGTGGCTCCGAGGCGCCGGCTTCTGCTGAGAGCTTCCTGCCCCTGTGGTTCCTCCGGGCACTCCCGCGCTCAAGGCGGGCTCACCGCAGCTCCGGCCCTGGGCTATTCTGCCCTCGGGCTCCCCTGGCTCCGGCCCTGCTGACCGGCGTCCGTTGCTGTCCTCCGAGGTGACGCTCATTGAGCTGTTCTCGCTGAAAAAGTTGGGCGTGTGCTTGCGCGGGGACGAGGCCGAGCCCGGGCGGGAGCTTCGCCGCATCCTGACGCTAAAGCTGCAGCCGCGGTCGCCAAGTCCTTGGGGCCCTCCTTCAGCTGCTGCCGCCGCGGGGACCCCCCGGACCCTGCGTGAAGTTGGCAGGCCCAGCGGCCGCACCCGCCCTAGCGCTGTGGCCCGTGCGGCTGTGACGTCACAGAGGAGCTTCTGTCTCCACGGGCTGCCCTGGCTGTGCGTCACAGGGCTGGCCGTGACGTCACTGGGAACCGTAGCCATGGCAGCCTCTCCTATTTGTGACTTTTTTTTTTTTTTTTTAAGAGACAGGGTCTTTCTCATTGCCCAGGCTGGAGTGCAGGGGCTGCTTCATAGCTCACTGTAACCTCGAACTCCTGGGCTCAAGTGGTCCTCCAGCCTCAGCCTCCCAAAGCGCTGGGAGTACAGGTGTGAGCCACCGCGCCAAGTAAAGCAAACGATGATGTCACAGCACTTCCCAGAAAACCCCATCTAAAATTGCACTCAGAGTATAACAGTTTTTCTCCTTCCTTCCGTCCTTCTCTCTCTCTCTCTCTCTCTCTCTCTCTCTCTCTCTCTCTCTCTCTCTTTCTCTCTCTCTCTCCTTTCTCTCTTTTTCTCTTGCTCTTCTCTTTTCTCCAGCCCAGGCTGGAGTGCAATGGCATGATCTTGGCTCACTGCAACCTCTGCCTCCCGGGTTCAAGCGATTCTCCTGCCTCAGCCTCCTGAGTAGCTGGGATTACAGGCGCCTGCCACCATCTGTTTGATTTTTGTGTTTTTAGTAGAGACAGGGTTTCACCATGTTGACCAGGCTATTCTCAAACTGCTGACCTCAGGTGATCCGCCCTCCTCGGCCTCCTAGAGTGCTGTGATTACAGGTGTCAGCCACTGTGGCCGGCCCATTTATTTATTTCCTTATTGGGTGTCATGCCTACTAGAACATAACTTAATGAGGGCACAGATTTTTGTTCACTACTGTATCCTCCAGCACCTAGATAAGGCCAGCCTGTTGTTGGTGCTCAAATATTTGCAAATAATGAACGTTAGGAAGGAGCAGGGCATCACACAGGGCACTTCCAAACAAATACTTAGTCCCCTTTATTTTGCAAGCCCTTCAGCCCTCTCCTCTCATCCTAGACATCAGGTCAGAGAGCTCAGTCAAGTCTCTCCTGTTGGGAACCAGCCTTGGGACTCTTAATCCCAGGGTTGTAAGTTCGAGCCCCACATTGGGTACCAGATGTTGAGAACCAGCCCAACCCTGTATGTGGGTGCCCCGTATCCTGGCAGTGATGACGAGTGAGAAAAGAAAGACAGACACAATAATAGAATTTTACAGCATGGGTCCAGGGATCCAATCTGAGCTGGCATTGAGCTCTGGGCTCCAAGTGCTTTTATTGGGTGTATTATCTTCTTAATCTTGCAGCCTATGGGGAGGGGGTTGAGGAGGAAGATAGCTGGACGAAGAGCATGTGTCTACAGCATTCAATAGCAAACATAGTTCTTCTAAGAAATGCTAACAAAGGACACTGCGACTTTACCACCCATTGTCTAATCAGATGCTTTGAGAGGTATAAGATAAGGCACCATAAGGTCTGACCACACACAACGCATCAAGGGGCTTTTATCTCCCAAGCATTGTGGACACAAAGCAATTGGAATTGCTCCATATTCTGAGAACATAGGCAGAGCCTGTGGTGTTCCTTGATCTCTGCCCTGTAAGGCCTTCTGGCCTTACCAGCTCCCATCTGCAAAGACCCTCCCCGAGTCTTGTGAGCAGAGGTTGCATTTCCTCCCCAGAGTCTTTTGCATAGGCTCCCTTTACGAGATCCTATACAAACTCTATGTTGGGAAGAGTTGTGGGACCAAAGCAGTTTTTTTTTCCTGCTCTGCAACCACACTGCAGTGTTCTGCTGTTCTAGGGCGCTCTCAGATGCTCTGTACCATAGGCCTCCTGTTACTGCTTAATCTCTGCTTTTATTTTACTGCAGCATAGTTTGGATATGATCTGTGACACAAATCTCAGTGTATAAAAAGCAAAGCAAGCTTGTAATCATTTAACTATAAGTAACACAGGTCTGCCCCTGGCCATCTCTTCCCACACCTCCCCAAGACCAATGTTTCCCAGTGGTCTGTGGGTTGAGAAGTCAGCACCCGCCAATTACACCCACACTCAGGCTATACACCTGAGTCATGGAGGAAAGAATGAGGAATCACAGATGGTCACAGCTGGGAGCAGAGGTTCCTGAACTCTTGCTATGTAACAGAATATCGGTGCAGCTTATAGAAATTCAGCTTCCCAGGCACACCTCGTGATTCTACTCCAGATACTGCAGAATTTCTCAGTTGGCCCAGGAATGTGCTTTTGGTTTTGTTTTTGTTTATTTTTTAGATGGAGTCTCGCTCTGTTGCCCAGGCTGGAATGCAATGGTATGATCTCGGCTCACTGTAACCTCTGCCTCCGCAAATAGCTGGGATTACAGGCATGTGCCACCACACCCGGCTAACTTTTTTTTTTGGTATTTTTAGTAGAGACGGGGTTGTACTATGTTGGCCAGGGTGATCTTAAACTCCTTTCCTCAGGTGATCCGCCTGCCTTGGCCTCCCAAATTGCTGGTATTACAGGTATGAACCAGTATACCTGGCCGGAGTGTGCATTTGTAACAACCACATTTGTGATCCTGATTAAAGTCCACATTTTGGGACCAGGCTTGGTGGCTCAGACCTGTAATCCCAGCACTTTAGGAGGCTGAGGTGGGTGGATCACCTGATGTCGGGAATTTGAGACCAGCCTGGCAAAGTTGGTGAAACCCTGTCTCTACTAAAAATACAAAAATTAGCCGGGTGTGGTTTCGTGTACCTGTAATCTTAGCTACTCGGGAAGCTGAGGCAGAAGGATTGCTTGATCCCAGAAAGTGGAGGTTGCAGTGAGCCGACTGAGCCACTGCACTCCAGGCTAGGCAACAGAGGGAGACTCTGTCTCAAAAAAAAAAAGGAAACACACATTTTGAAAGACAATGCAGTGCATTGTGCACAAGTTGCACAGCTAGGCAAACAGGTCCAGGTAGGGGAATAATACCCTGCATAACATTAGAGTTCCCAAATCCTTCCCTCCGGCCCAGTACCCTTACTGCCTCGAATACCTTCCTTAGAATGTTAGGAACTGGGGTGGGGTGTGATGGCTCATGCCTGTACTCCCAGCACTTTGGGAGGCTCAGGCAGTGGATCACTTGAGGTCAAGAGTTCGAAACCAGCCTGGTCAATATGGTGAAACCCCGTGTCCACTAAAAATACAAAAACTAGCTGGGCGTGGTGGTGCACGTCTGTAGCTGCAACTACTTGGGAGGCTGAGGCAGGAGAATCACTTGAACCTGGGAGGCAGAGGTTGGAGTGAGCTGGGATGGCACCACTATACTTCAGCCTGGGTAGAGCTAGACTTCATCTCAAAAAAACACCAAGAATGTTAGGAACTGGAAGTGGCAGTTCTTAGAGGGGTTGAGGCACAGGGAAACTCTGTTAAGCTGTGTTCCAGCCCAGAGGGGAGATGCCCATGCCAGGCTCCAGAGGGATGACATCAATACCTTTCTTCATTAGGTGCCACAGAGCCCACAAGGAAGAAGGGAGAAGAAGGCGAAGGCACTGCAAACTCCAAATTCTGGTTCATACTACTCTATCTCTGCTTCTTCCTTGTTTTCTATCTGTGACCTCCTTTGGGTCTCAGTGTCCCTATCCGTTAAAAGGGAGAGGTGAAGCTCTGCCCCAGCATCTGAGGGTTTCAGGTCTAATCTGGACCTTTCTTCATGACAGAACAGTCTGTCCCTCTTGTCTGATGTTTTTTAGACCCCCAGACTCGTTTGAATATATAACAACTGGCTGGGTGCAGCTTTGGGAGGTCAAGAAGGATGGATCACCTGAGGTCAGGTGTTCAAGACCAGCCTGGCCAACATGGCCAAACTCGGTCTGTACTAAAAATACAAAACTAGCCAGGCACCTGTAGTCCCAGCTACTTCGGAGGCTGAGGCAGGAGAATTGCTTAAACCTGGGAGATGGAGGTTGCAGTGAGCCCAGATCACACCACTGCACAACAGCCTGGGCAAAACAACAGCAACGGAGAAATAGGCAGAACAGGGCTTTACAACCTAGTACCGAGATGGAAAAGCTGAAGCACAAGAAGGGACCATGTCTGGGGCAAGGTCACACAGCAAGACCCAGCTCCTCTGACTATCTAATCTTATCTGCTGCTGCTGCCGCCCAAGTTCCTTGTATTCAGGCCAAATTGAACAAATTACATGGCCCAGAAAACATTCTGCATTCCTTCCTGCTGCCTGGGTTTCTGTCTTTGCTCCCAACTCCTGTCCTTTGAGCCAGGGGTCCCAACCCCCAGGCCATGGACGGGTACTGGTCTGTGGCCTAGGAACCAGGATGCACAGCAGGAGGTGAGCAGTAGGCGCAGAAGCATCACCACCCGAGCTCTGCCTTTTGTCAGGTCAGGAGCAGCATTAATTCTCATAGGATCGTGAACCCTATTGATAACTATGCATGTGAGGGATCTAGGTTGCGCGCTCCTCATGAGAATCTAATGCCTGATGATCTGAGATGAAACAGTTTCATCCCCAAACCATCCCCTCTGCCCCCTGCTCCTGCCCCCTACCCCGTCCATGGAAAAACTGTCTTCCATGAAACCCGTCTCTGGTCACTGGTGCCAAAAAAGGTTGGGGTCTACTGCTCTAAGCCAATTTTCCTTTCTTTAAAAAAAAATTTTGTTTTGAGACAGTGTTTTGCTGTATTGCCCAGGCTGCAGTGGAGTGGCAGGATCACAGCTCACTACAACCTCGACCTCCTGGGCTCAAGCAATACTCCTGTCTTGGCTTTGCAACAGGCGTGAGCCACCATGATGAGCCTAAACCCATTCTAAACATTCCTTCTTTGGGGAAGCCCCTTTGATCTCTCCACTCTGAGCTCCTGGGCCCTGGCCCTTTTCTGCTCCGAGGGTAATTACAGTCTTTCTAGGCTGTGTTAGTCAGTGGAGTCATGAAGTTACTGGAAGACAGACACATGTGATTCCCCTCTCATGGCTGGATACCCTGCAGGGTGCCACAGCACGAGTCCTGCACATAGAAGGTGCAGGACACGGTAGATCATCCCTGTAATCCCAGCACTATGGGAGGCTGAGGAAGGAGGAATGCTAGAGCCAGGAGACCAGCCTGGGCAACAGAGTAAGACCCCACCTCTTAAAAAAAATTAGCTGGTGTGAGTGCATGAACTTGTAGCTCCAGCTACTAGGGAGGCTGAGGGAGAAAGATCACTTAAGTCTGGGAAGTTGAGGCTGTAGTGAGCTGTAATTGTGGCACTGCACTCCAGCCTGGGTGACAGAGCAAGATCCTATCTGAAAAAAAAAAGAGAAAGAAAGTAAAAAAATATATATAGAGAGAGGTAGAAAGAAAAGAGAAGAGGCCAGGTGTGGTGGCTCACACCTGTAATCCCAGCACTTTGGGAGGCTGAGGTGAGCAGATCACTTGAGGTCAGGAGTTCAAGACCAGCCTGGCCAACATGGTGAAACCCCATCTCTATGAAAAATACAAAAAATTAGCCGGTTGTGGCGGTGGACACCTGTAATTCCAGCTACCCAGGAGGCTGAGACAGGAGAATTGCTTGAACCTAGGAGGTGGAGGCTGTAGTGAGCTGAAATCGCACCACTGCACTCCAGCCTGGGCAACAGAGCAAGACTCCACGCGAGAGAGAGAGAGAGAGAGAGAGAGAGAGGGAGAGAGAGAGAGAGAGGGAGAGAGAGAGAGAGAGAGAGAGAGAGAGAGAGAGAGAGAGAGAGAGAGAGAGAGGAGAGAGAGAAAAGGAAAGAAAAGGAAAGGAAAGGCATGAGGTCCATGCTCTTGAGGCCTCACCGGCTGGCAGGGAGCAGACCGGGGTCCTGTTTGCTCCCCTTGCCTCCCTCCCCACCCTATCCCAGCTCTCATTCCCTGAGAATACAGGATGGAGGCTGAGCCAGTCCTGCCAGCTTGCAGCTGGTGGAGCCAGGGAGGACTGAATTGACCTCAAGGACCTTACCTCTATCTCTTGGTCCTCTCCTCCCTCCCCACCCATGACCCCCAGCCCTGCTCCCTGTGTGTTTGAGTAGAGGGCAGGGATTGCTAAACCTGCTGGGTGAGTCCAGTGAGTCAGAGGCGATTCAGGTGGGCGGGCTGGTGGGCAGGAGGGCAGAGGAAGTGCCAGTACCACTGAGACCATGGCCCTGACAGTGTGCGTGCAACGAATAACAGGGCTGTCCGGCACCCACGACCGACAAGTGAAGCTCAGCTTTCGCGGTGAGACTTGCAGGGGCACTCTAAGGATACTTGAAACGGGGGGGGGGGGCCTTGACCCAATGCCTTCCCATCTCTACAGTTTGTCTCTTTCTCTACCCAGCCTGGTGTCTCCAACCCTTTGCCTCTTTCCTTCCCATTGTCTACCTTTCTTTAAGGGTGAATCCAGGAGCAACTTGACCCTGGGCCAAGGGTGGGTGAAGCAAATTATTTTTGTGTTGGGGGGAGAGGGGCTGTTAAATGACTAGTTTCCGTTCTGAGCAGGCTTTACCCAGAAAACAAGAAAAATTCACTGTGGTCAAGAAGCCGATATTGGTGAGGTCAGTACAGTTGGTTCCTGGTTTGTCTACCATCCAAGTCCAACCTGGGGTTCAGGGGCTCATTCCTAGGTTTGGGGAAGTGTAGTCTTGGGAGGTGGGGGTCAGTCTGAGGCTTGACAGATCAGATCCAGATCAGAACAAATCCGTCCCAAGGCTGGGGGAATTCATTTGTGATCAGTAGTCAGCCCCATTCAGAGTCAAACCCATGTGTTGGGATCAGTTCCAGGTTTGGGGACGTTAATCCTGAAGTGAGCTCCAAACCTGGAGGATTGGCTCCTGTCTGAGGGTTAGGAATAGGCTTTTTCTTTTTTTCAGGAGACAGGGCCTCACTCTGTCACCCAGGCTGAGGTGCAATGGCACAATCTCAGCTCACTGCAACCTTCACCTCCTTTAGCCTCCTGAGTAGCTGGGATTACAGGTGCCTTCCTGCCACCATGCTTGGCTAATTTTTGTATTTTTAGTAGGGATGGGGTTTCACCATGTTGGCTAGGCTGGTCTCTTTTATTTTATTTTATTTTTTTAGGACAGGGTTTCACCATGTTGGTCAGGATGGTCTTGAACTCCTGACCTCAGGTGATCTGCCCGCCTTGGCCTCCAAAGTGCTTGGATGACAGGCGTGAGCCACTACACCCGGCCCAGGCTGGTCTCAAACTCTTGACCTCAGGTGATCCACCCACCTTGGCCTCCCAAAGTGCTGGGATTACAAGCATGAGCCACCATGCCCAGGCAAGAATAGGCTTTGGATTGGAGTTTGGGGTCAGTACAGCGTGGGTGTCACAAGCTTCCTCCTGTCCCCAGCTGTTCCACTGGCCCCACTATGGGGCTCCACTGGCTGGGGAGTGTCTGTCTGTGCAGGTGGTCAACTGCAGCCGTGTATTCAGCCCCAGGTGAGTAGGCCTGGGGAGACAGGGATGCAGGTTGGGTTCGGGGTGACTTAGAGTCATTCCTCTGGGTCACTCTTTTGCTCTATGTCACTCCCCTAGGCCCTTGGGGACCCTGGTGATCTCCCTGCAGCAGCTACAGAATGCTGGGCGTTTGATGCTACGGGAAGCTCTAGTGGATGAGAATCTTCGCGTGTCCCCGGTGAGCTCCTCTGGCCCCCAGGCTGCCACCCTCAAGTACCTCTAGATAAAGGGTTCCATTTCTCACAGGGGAAAACCTAAGACCCAGAGATGAGTGGTAGGTAACAAGGCCTCTAGCCATGATTCCTTTCAGGAATCAATTCTTGTGGGAGACAAAGATGAAATTGGCTGGATTTTCCGGGTTTTTCATGGAGGGGCTCATACCCTAATAGACATGGACCTAGCTTCAAATCTCAGATCTGGCCATTTCCCAGCTAGAACCTGCAGAATTCTTTAGCATCTGGAAGCTGCTGTCTTTTTCTTTTCTTTTTTTTTAAGACGGGATTTCACCATATTGGCCAGGCTGTTCTCAAACTCCTAACCTTGTGATCCATCTGCCTTGGCCTCCCAAACTGCTGGGATTACAGGTGTGAGCCACCTTGCCTGGTCTGGAAGTTGTTTTCTCATTTACATAATATTGAGTTTTTTGTTCAGTCCATCATCATCTGTTGAGCTCTTATAATAAGCCAAGTACTGAGCTGAGCAATGAGGATTCCGTGGTGAGCAAAACCAGGTAAGGATTTGCACTCTTGGAAGGGAGGCAAATGGTAAACAAATATTCACACAAGTAAATGGAAGAGGCTGGGCGAGGGTACAACGGAGTATGATCTACCTGGGGGCCAGAGAAAGTTCCCTGAGGCAGTAGTACTTCAATTTAGACTCCAAGGATAATAGGTTTTAAGTAACTGGGAGGAGAGAATGTTCCAGGCAGAGGAGCACAGCTGAGGTGCCTGGAGTGAGGTGCAGCTGGAAAGGTTGGTGGGGCCAGACCAGGCAGGGCGGTGAAAGCCACCGAAAGGGATTTCCAAGAGTGATGAGGGAATCTTGGAATCCTGTTGGGCGTCCCCAAGAGGTAACTGTGGCTGGATACACAGCTCAGGCCTGTAAGCCCAACACTGTGGGAAGCCGAAGCGGAAGGATCATTTGAGCTCAGGAGCTCAAGACCAGCCTGGGTAACATAATACCTCATCGGCCAGGCGTGGTGGCTCACGCCTGTAATCCCAGCACTTTGGGAGACTGAGGTGGGAGGATCACAAGGTCAAGAGATCAAGACCATCTTGGCAAACATGGTGAAACCCCGTCTCTACTAAAAAAATACAAAAATTGGCTGGGTGTGATTGCACGCACCTGTAGTCCCAGCTACTTGGGAAGCTGAGGCAGGAGACTCGCTTAAACCCGGGAGGTGGAGGTTGCAGTGAGCCGGGATTGTGCCACTGCACTCCAGCCTGGCAACAGAGTGAGACTCTGTCTCAAAAAAACAACAACAAACAAACAAACAAACAAAAAGCCTTATCGATACTAAAAATAGAATGAAAAAGAAAAAAGAGACAATTTAAAGAGGAATCTTGCTTTTCAATCCGACATCTGCGGTGGAGCTGCCACCAAAATGCAGATTTTCGTGAAAACCCTTATGAGGAAGACCATCACCCTCGAGTTTGAACCCTCGGATACAACAGAAAATGTAAAGGCCAAGATCCAGGATAAGGAAGGGATTCCTCCTGATCAGCAAAGACTGAACTTTCTCTGACTACAACATTCACGAGGAGTCTACTCCTCATCTTGTGTTGAGACTTAGTGGTGGTGCTATACGAAAAGGAGTAAGTCTTACACCTCTCCCAAGAAGAATAAGCATGAGAGAAAGAAGGTTCAGCTGGCTGTCCTGAAATATTATGAGGTGGATGACAATGCCAAATTAGTCGCCTTGATCAAGAGTGCCCTTCTGATCAATGTGGTGCTGGAGTGTTTATGGTAAGCCACTTTGACTGACATTATTGTGGCAAATGTTGTCTTACTGCTTCAACAAACCAGAAGACAAGTAATTGAGTTAATAAAAGACTTGAACAAAAAAAAAAAAAAAAAAAAAAAAAAAGAGGAAAATTGCCTACTTAGTTCTTAATAGGTTGTGAGTAGTCCACATTATTAATGATCAGACAGGAACCACAGGGCACCAGCCAGAAGGATGTCTGCCGCCTGGAGTAGAAGACACTGTCCTAGCCCGGCGCTAGGACATGTGGCTCATGCCTGTAATCCCAGCACTTTGGGAGGCCGAGGCGGGTGGATCATGAGGTCAAGAGGTTGAGACCATCCTGGTCAACAAGGTGAAACCCCGTCTCTACTAAAAATACAAAAATTAGCTGGGCATGGTGGTGCATGCCTGTAGTCCCAGCTACTCGGGAGGCTGAGGCAGGAGAATTGCTTGAACCCTGAAGGCGGAGGTTGCGGTGAGCCAAGATCGTGCCATTGCACTCAGTCTGGGTAACAAGAGCAAAACTCTGTCTCAAAAAAAAAAAAAAAAAAAAAAAAGGCAGTGTCCTTGGGCCTCTCTTAGCTCCAGGGCAGTTAGAGGGAGGCTCTAGGGGATACTATATCTGGTTTTAGATCCACGTGGAGCTTGACCTGAAGTACCAGCCCCCAGAGGGCGCTACTGGAGCCTGGGCAGAGGAGGACTTTGGGGCACCCATCCAGGACAGGTAATCCCCCCCAGCAACCAAAGCAAGACCTGGCGGTACCAGCCGAGGCAGACCCTGGAAAGGGAGAAGTAGTGCCCAGTTCCACTCTGGACCTGCCAATTCAGAGACCCTTGGACGTGTGCTGACCAGGTACTGTTCTGTAGTCAGGCATGTTCTTCTCAGTCCTTTCATTTCTCTTCCAGCTCGGAGTTGATCATCCGTAATGTGGAATTCCAGGAACTGGAGTAAGTATGTGGGGATGATCTGTGGTCACCCAGGTCATCTTGGAGTTCGAGCCAGTGATATGGGATCAGTTCCAGGTGGATCTATTTCACCTGATTAGTGCTAGAATCAGGTCAGTTCTGGAATTAGAAAAGTCCCAGGGTCGGCCAGGTGCAGTGGCTCGTGCCTATAATCCCAGCACTTTGGGAGGCTAAGGCAGGTGGATCACAAGGGCAGGAGTTCAAGACCAGCCTGGCCAAGAAGGTGAAACACTGTCACTATGAAAAATACAAAAATTAGCCAGGTGTGGTGGCACATGCCTATAATCCCAGCTACTTGGGAGGCTGAGGCAGAGAATCGCTTGAACCCAGGATGCTAAGGTTGCAGTAAGCAGAGATCACGCCACTGCGCTCCAGCCTGGGCAATAGAGTGAGACTCCGTCGAAAGAAAGAAGGAAGGAAGGAAGGAAGGAAGGAAGGAAGGAAGGAAGGAAGGAAGGAAGGAAGGAAAGAAGGAAAGAAAGAAGGAAAAGAAGGAAAGAAGGAAGGAAGGAAGGAAGGAAAGAAGGAAAGAAAGAAAGAAAGAGAGAGAGAGGAAGAAGAAGAAGAAGAAGAAGAAAGAAAGAAAGAAAGATCCCAGGGTTAAGAGTCTGTCCCGGGATCAATGAAGTCAGCCACAAGGTCAAGAACTGGCCCTAGGATCAGTGGGATCAGTTCAAGGGTCAGGGGTCAGTTAAAGGCTCCAGGAAGTCAAGCAAGGAATTGTCCAGAGATGGGTGATGGGTTCCAGACATGTCCCTGAAGGCCTTTCCTGTCAGGCCTAGGGAGGCCCAGCTGGAGCGGCGGGCAGTGGCTCTGGGTCGCAGGCTAGCTCGAAGCCTAGGCCAGCAGGATGATGAGGAGAATGAGCTGGAGCCTGAGCTGGAGCAGGACCTGGAGGATGAGCCTGACATGGAACTTTCTGGTGTTGTGTTCAGCCCTCTCAAGAGGTAACTTGTACCCATGGCACACGTGCTCCCACACCCATCTGCCCTCACAAACACACTGTCCCAGGGTATGTGGGAAGGGTGGATTCCCTTGTTCATAGGCATAGACACTGCCATGTTCATGCACAGTTACAGTGGCTCAGACACATACAGGGGAAAGCTTGATGAGGGCAAGGAGATCTGTCTCTTCACTGCAGTGTCCCAGTGCTTGGGACAGTGTTAGCACCTAGTAGGTGCTCAATAAATCTCTGTTGCATGAATGAATGTTTTCAGGATTCCAGGAATGAGTCAAATTGGGTTGAGATGGAGGCAACAGACATGACCTGAAAGACTTGGAATCCAAAAATTCAGAGGGAGGGAAACATTCCCAGCACCAAGCAAGTGTATGTGTGTGTGTGCACACGCATTTGTGTGCAAAGGAGGGACCAAGTGAGAGCTAACTTTAAGTTTCACCTCAGCCGCACCAGGGACCTGGCCTGTGGGGATCCCTTCCAGATGTCCAGAGCTCAAGACTTCCAGGTACTGCTCCTTTTCCAGGCCCTAACCCTTGGGAGTACCACCTCTTCTGCTGGTGCGCATATACTTTTCTCTAACCCAGGCAGGTCTGGCTTCCTTTCCTCATCCTTCTGTACCTCTCAGGTGGGAGTCACGGTGCTGGAGGCCCAGAAACTGGCTGGAATCAACATTAACCCCTATGTGACTGTGCATGTTGGGGGACAGCGCCGTGTCACCTCCACACAGCTTGGAACCAATTGCCCCTTTTACAATGAGGTAGGTGCTACCACAGAAGAGGGAGAGCCTGAGAGAATGGGAGAGACCCAGGTGAGAACTGCTCCTGGATGGGGCGTGGCCTGGGTGGAATTGGAGCCAGATGCTGGGCCTATGGTGGGGGGGGCACTGACCCACGAAAAGGTTGCAGTGAGGGGTTTGGGGTTGAGGGAAGGAGGGTCTTCTGAACAAGAGACCAGTGTAAGCTGGTGGGAGCCCTTCACATCTAACCTCTCGTCCTCACTTCAATTCAGTACTTCTTGTTCGAATTTCATGACACCCGGCTTCGCCTCCAAGACTTGCTGCTGGAGATCACGGTGAGGGCGTAGGAGTGACCAGTGTCCTTCAGAGAATCGGGGATGCAAAAGCTGCAGGACTAAACACCACCTTCCCCGCAGGCTTTCCATTCGCAGACCCTCCCTTTTATGGCCACCCGGATAGGCACCTTCAGGATTGACCTGGGCATCATCTTGGACCAGCCAGGTATGGAACCGTCCCCTTACTGAGACTCTGCACGGACAAGGACCCCAGAGATTGACCCCGCGGTGACTCCGCATGGACCCCTATACACTCACTTTGGAGTGGGCCACCTCTGGTGGAGGTTGAACTCTTGGCAAATCCTTCCCTGATGAGCCAGACAGGAACCCCGGCCATTGTCCCTCCGATGACAGCCTCACTGCCACCCTGTGCGTCCCGCCGGTCGTCCCTGACCTGGCCGCCCCTTCACCCTTAGATGGCCAATTCTACCAAAGATGGGCTCCGCTGCATGATCCCCAGGACACCCGCGCCGGGGCCAAGGGCTTCGTTAAGGTCACATTGTCCGTGAGGGCGCGCGGGGACCTGCCCCCTCCAATGCTACCCGAGGCCCCAGGGCACTGTTCGGACATCGAGAAGTGAGCCGGGGTGAGGTGGGGAGTGGGACATGGATCCGGGCGTGGCCGCGGGGTGCGGAGAAGGGGACGGGCCGAGACCCCAGCTTCTCGCCCCGCTCGGTGCCCCCTCCCCTAGGAACCTGCTCTTGCCGCGCGGGGTGTCCGCCGAGAGGCCGTGGGCGCGGCTCCGCGTGCGCCTGTACCGCGCCGAGGGGCTTCCCGCGCTGCGCTCTGGGCTGCTGGGCAGCCTGGCCCGCGCCCTTCACGACCAGCGTGTCCTGGTGGAGCCCTACGTGCGGGTGTCTTTCCTGGGGCAGCAGGTAAGTCCCTCCAGCTGCTGGCCAACTTCTTCCCTTTCAGAGAGGCTGAGCCTCTCCCCTGCCCTCACTCCCGAGGACTTGGAGGAGATCAGAGTGAGGTGCGGAGACTTAACAGTACCCGCCCGCCCCGCGCTCCCCGCAACACGCTGCTCCAGGGCCCACGGCGCCGCGGCTTCGGCCCCGACTCCGCGCTGACCCCTCTCCGCCCGTCTTCGCTGCCGGCTTCAGGGCGAGACGTCGGTGCGCGCAGAGGCGGCAGCGCCCGAGTGGAACGAGCAGCTGAGCTTCGTGGAGCTCTTCCCACCGCTGACGCGCAGCCTCCGCCTGCAGCTGCGGGACGACGCGCCCCTAGTGGACGCGGCCCTCGCCACGCACGTGCTGGACCTGAGGCGGATCTCCCACCCGGGCCGCGCGGGTGAGCCCTTCTGGCCCCCCTGAGGACCGGCCTCACTCGCCTCGGTCCAATCGCGCCGTAGGGCCCATTCCCTCCCGCAAGGCCCATCCTCACGACCCCGCTCCGCCTAGGAAGGCTGGTCCGCCCGCAAAACTGCTTCAAGGCGCCCCCAGACTGTGAACCCCACCCTCGGTTTGGCTCCGTTGGCAAAATTCTGACCACAGCCACCTGCCCAATAACCTGCCCAGTCCGCCGTTCCTACTGCTGTGCACGCGCTGACACTGCCTGTCCACTCCTTTCGCGCGGAACTCCCGTAGCTCCGCTCCTATCCCATCCCCGCCCCGATCAATCCCGACTCTACCTTCAGGGCTCAGGCTCTGTCCCCCGAGCCCCGGCTCCCGCGGTTTCCAGCGTCCTGGGGCGCTGAGCTGGTTTGGGGGCGCCCAGGTGATGTTCCACAGCGTCGCGTCCGCAGCTGCTGGCCAACTTCTTCCCTTTCAGAGAGGCTGAGCCCCTCACCTGCCCTCACTCCCGAGGACTTGGAGGAGATCAGAGTGAGGTGCAGAGACTTAACAGTACCCGCCCGCCCCACGCTCCCCCCAACACGCTGCTCTTGTTCTCCACAGCGGGGTTTAACCCCACCTTCGGCCCGGCCTGGGTGCCCCTCTATGGCTCGCCCCCCGGCGCAGGGCTCCGGGATGGTCTTCAAGGTCTCAACGAAGGCGTTGGCCGAGGCATTTGGTTCCGAGGCCGTCTTCTGCTGGCTGCGTCCATGCAGGTGTTGGAAGGGAGAGCTGAACCTGAGCCTCCCCAGGCCCAGCAGGGGTCCAGGTTGTTCCGGTCTACGCGAAAGAAGAAAAAGAAAGCCAGGCGAGATCACACCCCAACGGGGGTTGCTCAGCACGTGGACGCCAGCCCCGGTGCCGGTGCCGAGGGGCCTGAGATTCCCAGTGCCATGGAGGTGGAGGTGGAGGAGCTGCTGCCGCTGCCAGAGGTGGGGGCTAGGAGGTAGCAAAGGGGGTGGGGTCACCTATGCTCCGGAGGGGGAAATCCACTCTCAGGCATTCAACACCATGATGAGGGTCTCAAGTTGGGGGTCTGGCGAAGAGTGAGGTTTGTGCCCACTCAGGGCCAATGGTATATGCACACACATGTTGGGGGAAAGATGACTGGTCAATTAGAGGTGGGCCACAGAGGACCCATACCCAGGGCGGGTGCTGGGGCTGCGAGGCCAGAGAGAGAGTAGGATACCTGAAGTGACTTCCAAGTCTTGGTCGCACGTCTTTCTGTGGACATTGCGGCCAAACAGAATCCAGGCTGCTCCCTGGGAGCGTGGGTGCTGACTACAGCCTGATGGCCTTCCCTAGAACGTCCTGGCGCCCTGTGAAGATTTCCTGCTTTTCGGTGTACTCTTTGAGGCCACCATGATCGACCCCGCCGTGGCCTCCCAGCCCATCAGCTTCGAGATCTCCATTGGTGTGTGGCCTAGCCAAACCCCTGAGTGCCATGGGTTTGAGGGTCGGCACTCTCCTTTCAGAGAGTGGGGCCCTGGAAGGGACGGTTGACTTTCAGTAAGGGGTGGGTTTGACTTCTATTAAGGCAGAGGTTGTTGAGGGAGGGGTCTGACCCTCAGCCTGGTGCCCACTGACCCTTGCTGCTCTGGGATAGGTCGTGCGGGCCGCCTGGAGGAGCAATTGGGCCAAGGGTCCAGAGCTGGGGAGGGAAATGAAGGTGTGGTGGTGGAGGCTCAGCCTCTACTGGGAGCCAGGGCAGAGGAGGAGGAGCTGGGGACCCCTGCTCAGCGACCTGAACCCATGGAGGGCAGCGGGTGAGTGCTCCTGGTGGCTGGAAGGGGAGTTTGGGAGGTCCCCAAGGGCTCAGAATGCCTGAGAAGCCTCCTCCCCACCCCCCAGGCCATACTTCTGCTTGCCTCTGCGTCACCACAAGCCGTGTGTGCGTGTGTGGAGTCGCTGGGAGGATCACACTTGGCGCCTGCAAAGCAGCAACTGCGTGCACAAAGTGGCTGAGAGGCTGGTGAGGGCAAGGCCAGTGCCCACAGGGAGAGGCTGCGCCACAGGGACTCCCAGGACACTGCGGCCTTTGAAGGCAGCTCTGCAGCAGGGCTAATGGGCAGGCACTAGAGAGCCAGCGCCTTGCTAATGCAAGGCCAGGGGCAGCAACGACCAGAAAGCACAGCTTCTGGGGGAACTGAGGATGCCAGGAGCTGTGGGAGGACAGAGACTTGGAATTGCTGGGCCCAGGAAGGGGCTGGGTGAAGGAGATGGGTAGAGCTACTGCTGGTGGGCCCCACATTTGGTGGAGCCAGTAGGGGGCTAGAAAGAGTCATCTACCAGATGGAGCTAAAGAAGAGTAGGCCAAGAGGTGTGGTCATGAGTGGGTGGGGCCTCGGGTGGGGGGTGGTCTACAAGAGGTCTGGGTCAAGGACCCTTGAGACTCTGACTCTTGCTGGTTGCGCAGGACCAGGGACTGCAGGAGGTTGAGAGGCTGCAGCGCAGGCCAGGACCTCGTGCCTGTGCACAGCTCAAGCAGGTGCTGGAAGAGCTGGTGGCTGGGAGCAGGTGAGCTGAGAGCCATCCCTACTGCTGTCTGTCCTTGGGGCAACTCCAGGGCAAGGGAGACTCTTGGTGGCTGTCTAGACTCAAGGGCTCTTGCAGCTGCATTTGTTCAACACCTTATAGGAGAATGAGAAAATGATTATTCCTATCCAGGGAGCTGATGAGATTACTGGGCGTTAGGCTTCCCGGATCCTCTGGCACCTCAGCTGTTTTCCATCTCCAATGAGCTCCCTTTCCCACACTCCTAGAGGCTTATCCCGTGTCCCTTCTCAAACCTCCTTGCCTCCTTTCTTCCACACTTGTTCCTGCTAATCGCCTTCCCCACCCAGTCCACCTCCTTGCTGGCTTCTGCGTCCATCTGCTCTCCTTTCCTGCTCCAGTGACTGCAGCTGGATCTGGATTTCATTTCCTCTCACCTTCTGGAGGAATTGGCTCTGTAATTGTCAATTTTCTCTCCTTCATCACTGACCGGTCCCTAGTTTCCAGGTTATTTCTGTATCCACATAAACATGTTTGACCGGGCACAGTAGCTCACGCCTCTAATCCTAGCACTTTAGGAGGCCCAGGTGGGTGGATCACTTGAGGTCAGGTGTTCAAGACCAGTCTGGCCAACATGGTGAAATCCTGTCTCTACCAAAAACAAAATACAAAAATTAGCTGGGCATAATGGTGGGTACCTCCCAGCTACTCGGGAGGCTGACGCAGGAGAATCACTTGAACCTGAGAGGTGGAGGTTGCAGTGAGCCAAGATCATGCCATTGCACTCCAGCCTGGGTGACAGAGCAAGACTCCATCTCAAAAAAATAAAAACAAAGTTCTAGTTGCTTTAATCTTCGACCTTCACTGCCCTGAATTCCATAGCCTCCTCCAGGTACTTAAGTGATTTTTGGATCCTCTTCTTAAAAAGGGTTGTTTATTTATTTGATAACTGTTTATGGCACTTACTGTGCCAGACACAGTTTTAAACACAGGAATGTCAGTGAAAAAGCATTCCTGCCCACAAAAATCCCTGCAGTTGGCCAGGCACAGTGGCTTACACCTTTAGTCCCAGCTACTTGGAGGAGGCTGAGGCGGGAAGATCTTGAGCCCAGTAGTTCAAGGCTGCAGTGAACCGTGATTGCACCACTGCACTCCAGCCTGGGTGACAGAATGGGACCCTGACTCTAAAAAAAAATCTCAGGCTGGGCACGGTGGCTCACACCTATAATCCCAGCACTTTGGGAGGCTGAGGCGGGTGGATCACAAGATCATGAGATCAAGACCATCCTGGCCAACATGGTGAAAACCCATCTCCGCTATTTAAAAAAAAAAAAAAAAAAAAAAATCTGAGGACCTAGAGCTCTCCAGCATTTAGAGGTAGGGAAGAAGCAGGGACTCAGCCAAAGACCCTGGTCAGGAGAGGCAGTGAGGAAGGAGACTGTAGGTGGGCACTTTTCTGCTCTCACCTTGCTCAACCTTTCACTGTCAGTAGACACAGTTGTTCAACATATTGGCCAGGCTGGTCGTGAACTCCTGACCTCAAGTAATTCACCCACCTCGGCCTCTCAAAGTGCTGGGATTACAAGCCAGAGCCATCACACCTGACCAGATTCTAGATATTTTTTGAAGGTAGAGCATAAAGAATTTGCTAATGAATTGATGTGGAATGAGAGAGAAAGCAGTGAAGGATGACTTGGAAGTTTTGAGGTGAAACAGGGTTATTTTTGGGGTGGATCATTGGAAATTATGCATTTGGCTTGGGCATGTAATGTTCAAGCTGGTGGAGACCTAATCACACCATTGCCATCTGAGGCTTCAATGTGCTTAGGAATCCCCTAGGACATAAATGCAGCTTCTGATTCAGCAGGGCTTGGGGTGGGGCTGAGGGTCTGTGGTTTTAAATAGCCTGCAGGTGATACCAATGCTGTTAGTCCATGGGCCACACCTGGGGTAGCCAGGGTTGTAAGTGGTTAAATATTAGCGAACTCAAGAGCAAGGCTGGCCTTGTGAGTGGTCAAAATATAGAAGGGCGTCTTTGCACGAGAAAGGGTGCCTCTTCAGAGCACCAGACTGAGAGGACTGTGAGGGAGGCTGGGAGTGGGAGGCCGGCTCAGAGGGAAGCGGCCCTAAGGTCAGTGTTCTCTCCTTTCCTTTGACTCCTGTTTGCTGTGCACATCCCTGTTCGCTGCAGACAGTTTTGTCAAGGTGCCGAGCGCAGGGTGATGACCCGGCCCAATGCCCTGGATCGATGCCGAGGGAAACTTCTGGTGCACAGCCTGGTATGGCTTCGGGAAGGGACTCGGGTAGCTAGCTGGGCCCTCTACTCATGCTGTCTTTTTGCCCTCTCAGAACCTTTTGGCTAAGCAAGGACAGCGACTTCTGCGGGGCTTGAGACGGGGCAATGTGCAAAAGAAGGTGGCATTGGCCAAAAAGCTCCTGGCAAAACTGCGCTTTCTGGCTCAGGAGGTAATGCCTTGCTCACCCCACTTTCCCTGAGCTTTTGGGTCATTCTGGAGGCCTCAGGCAGGTGTGACATATATAACATTTGTCTTTTGGAATGATGCTAGGCCTGGGACTCATTGCTGTGGGCATAGGAGCAAGATCTATTTGCAAGCTAAGGGTGAGGACAAGAGTTCTAGAATCCAGCAGAGACCCAGGGAGCATTAAGGATATCTTTGGATGGAGATTTGAGAGTAGGCTGCCTTGAGTATGACCTCACTTGTCTGAAGGACTAAATATGACATGTGTAAAGGGAATTGACAGGAGCAGAAACTGAGGGTTAGAGAGGGAAAGTGGCTGGTCCACCATGCTATGCTGCCTAAGACTGAAGCTGTCCTTCCCAAAGGCGTGGGGCATTTAGACCACTGGGTATGTTCTCAGAGAGTGAGGAATTGTACTCCTAGACCTTGAAGGGTACGCTGAAGCTTGGCAAGTGAGAAAGAAAACATAGCATGTACAAAGGCCCAGAACTGAGAAGCCTGGGCAGCTGGAAGACAGAGTGTTGGAAGAAGAGATGACATAGAGACTTTATTATATTAATTGTTGGTGTAAAATTGCTTTTAAAATGACCAGTGTGGCTCACACCTGTAATTCCAGCCCTTTGGGAGGCTGAAGCAGGAGGATCACTTGAGTCCAGGAGTTTGAGACCAGCTTGGGCAACAAAGTGAGACCCTGTCTCGGTAAAAATTGGCTGTTTGTGATGGTGCACACCTAGAGTCCCAACTACTGTGGAGGCTGAAGTGAGAGGATTACTTGAGGCTACATTGAGCTAAGGTTGCACCCCTGCATTCCAGCCTGGGCGATAGAGCAAGACTGTCTTAAAAAATTGCATTGAAAACCTCCTTTTGTCATTTGACATTTAAAAATTGTTTTATGAGGCTGGGTGCAGTGGCTCACACCTGTAACCCCAGCACTTTGGGAGGCTGAGGTGGGTGATCACCTGAGGTCAGGAGTTCAAGACCAGACTGGCTAACATGGAGAAACCCTGTCTCTACCAAAAATAAAAAAAAATTAGCCAGGTGTGATGTCGCATGCCTGTAATCCCAGCTACTTGGGAGGCTGAGGCAGAAGAATTGCTTGAACCCAGGAGGCGGAGGTTGCAGTGAGCAGCGATGGTGCCACTGCACTCCAGCCTGGGTGACAGAGTGAGACAGTCTCAAAAAAAACAATAAATAATAAACATTTTTTATTTAATTTTTTTAATTTTAAGACGGGGTTTCACCATGTTGGTCAGGATGGTCTTGAACTCCTGACCTCAGGTGATCTGCCCGCCTTGGCCTCCAAAGTGCTTGGATTACAGGTGTGAGCCACCATGCCTGGCCAAAAATAATTTTTTGAGACAGAGCTGATACCTGTAATCCCAACAGTTTGGGATCCTCCAAAGTGAGAGGATCACTTGAACCCAGGATTTCAAGACCAAGCTGGGCAAAATAGACCCCATCTCCTAAAAAAAAATTAGCCAGGCATGGTGGCACATGCCTATAGTCCCAGCTACTTGGGAGGTTGAAGTGGGAGGATTGCTTGAGCCTGGGAGGTTGATACAGTGAACTATGATTATGCCTCTGTACTTCAGCCTGGGTAACAGAGTGAGACCCTGTCTAAAAAATAAATAAGTAAATAAAAATAAAAAATGTTCATGGTATAAATGTGCTGCATTCTTTTTTTTTTTTTTTTTTTTTTTGAGACGGAGTTTCGTTCTTGTTGCTCAGGCTGGAGTGCAATGGCGCGATCTTGGCTCACTGCAACCTCCGCCTCCTGGGTTCAGGCAATTCTCCTGCTTCAGCCTCCTGAGTAGCTGGGATTACAGGCACGCACCACCATGCCCAGCTAATTTTTTGTATTTTGAGTAGAGAGGGGGTTTCACCATGTTGACCAGGATGGTCTCGATCTCTTGACCTCGTGATCCACCCGCCTCGGCCTCCCAAAGTGCTGGGATTACAGGCGTGGGCCACTGCGCCCGGCCAATGTGCATTCTTAAATAATATAGCTTTGTGTTCCTGTTTTTCAGAGATTATATTATTTTGCTTTTTAAATCTCACTATTACGTGTGTGAGATTTATCCATATCATTGCTTGTAGCTATAATTTGTTGGTTTTCATTGCCATATAACATTCTGTTGTATAAATATACTGTAATGTGGCTGGGTGTGGTGGCTCACACCTGTAATCCCAGCACTTTGGGAGGCGGAGGTGGGTGGATCACCTGAGGTCAGGAGTTTGAGACCGGCCTGGACAACATGGTAAAACCCTCTCTCTACTAAAAATACAAAAATTAGCCAAGTGTGGTGGTGGGAGACTGAGGCAGAATTGCTTGAACCCAGGAGGCAGAGGTTGCAGTGAGCCAAGATCATGCCACTGCAGTCTAGCCTGGGCAACAGATGGAGACTCTGTCAAAAAAAAAAAGGAACTGTTTGGTTTGTAATTATTGAAATGTAGGTGTTTTAAAAGTATGTAAAAGTACATATACTGGGTACCAGTCATTTGTCAGGTATATATTTTTACATGTATTTTCTTCCAGTCTCTGGCTTGCCTATTCATATCTTTTCTTTTTCTTTTTTTTTTTTTGAGACAGAGTCTCACTCTGTCACCCAGCCTGGAGTGCAATGGCATGGTCTCAGCTCACTGCGCCCTCTGCCTCCTGAGTTCAAGTGATTCTCCCGCCTCAGCCTCCCAAGTAGCTGGGACTACAGGCACGTGCCACCACAACCGGCTAATTTTTGTATTTTTAGTAGAGACGGGGTTCACTTGTTGGCCAGATTGGTCTCGATCTCCTGACCTCATGATCCACCTGCCTTGGCCTCCCAAAGGGCTGTGATTACAGGCATGAGCCACTGCGCCCAGCCACCTATTCATTTTCTTAATGATGCTTTTTGATTGTGAAAATTTTAAAGTATTAGCTGAGTGCAGTGGCTCATGCCTGTAATTCCAGCACTTTGGGAAGCTGAGGCAGGTGGATCATGAGGTCAGGAGATTGAGACCATCTTGGCTAACACGGTGAAACCCTGTTTCTTAAAAAATAAAATAAAACAGGCTGGGCGCCGTGGCTCACGCCTATAATCCCAGCACTTTGGGAGGCCGAGGCGGGTGGATCACGAGGTCAGGAGATTGAGACCATCCTGGTCAACATGGTGAAACCCTGTCTCTACTAAAAATACAAAAAATTAGCTGGGCATGGTGGCACACGCCTGTAGTCCCAGCTTACTCGGGAGGCTGAGGCAGGAGAATTGCTTGAGTCCAGGAGGCGGAGGTTGTGGTGAGCCAAGATCGTGCCATTGCACTCCAGTCTGGGTTACAAGAGCGAAACTCCGTCTCAAAAAAGAAAGAAAATAAAGAGAAATTTTAATATTAATGAAGTGTGATTCATCTAGTTTTTCTTTTATGTTCGCCTTCTGTTACCTGTGTGGAAAGCCTTTGCCTACTGCCAAGCTACAAAGGTTTTCTCTTATGCTTTTCTCTACAAGCTTATGGTTTTAGATTTTACATTTAGGTCTTTGATCTCAAATTAATTTCTGTGTATGGTGTGACATATGGATCCAAGTTCTATGTGTATGTAATATATATGTTTGATATATATGTACTATATTACATATATATAATATATATATATATATATATTTTTTTTTAGACAAAGTCTTGCTCTGTCGCCAGGCTGGAGTACAGTGGTATAATCTCAGCTCACTGCAACCTCTGCCTCCCAGATTCAAGTGATTGCCCCACCTCAACTTCCTGAGTAGCTGGGATAACAGGCACCTACCAGCACACCCAGCAACTTTTTTGTATTCTTTGGTAGTGATGGGGTTTTACCATGTTGGCCAGAATGGTCTCTATCTCCTGACGTCGTGATCCACCAGCCTCAGCCTCCCAAAGTGCTGGGATTGCAGGCATGAGCCACTACACTGGGCCAAGAAGTTCTATTTTTTTTTAATATAATTTTTTCTTTTCTTTTTTTTTTTTTAATAAAGACGGGGTTTCACCATGTTGGTCAGGCTGGTCTTGAACTCCCGACCTCAGGTGATCCGCCCTCCTTGGCCTCCAAAGTGCTTGGATTACAGACATGAGCCACCACGCCGGGCCCATTTTTTTCTTTTTTTTAAGACAGGGTTTCACCATGTTGGCCAGGCTGGTCTTGAACTCCTGACCTCGGCGATTTCCCCACCTAGGCCTCCCAAAGTGCTAAGATTACAGGCGTGAGCCACCACGCCCAGCCAGAAGTTCAATTTTTAAAATAAAAATATGGACATCCAAGCCCGGGTGCAGTGGTTCATGCCTGTGTCACAACTGCTCGGGAGGCTGAGGCAGGAGGATCACTTGAGGCCAGGAGTTTGAGCCTGGCTCAAACTGGGCACCATAGTGTGGTTGCATTCCATCTGGGCACCGCAGTGAGGCTTTGTCTCTGAAGAAAGAAAAAATGAATATGCTTCTTTTCCACATTGAGTTGTTTAGGCTTCTTAATTGAAAATCAGAAGACTCTGTAAGTGTTTCTATTAATTTTTTTAATTCAACCCTTGTACTTTTTCTTTCTTTTTTTCTTTTATTTGTTTTGAGTCAAGGTCTTGCTGGAGTGCGGTGGTGAGATTATGGCTCATTGCAGCCTTGACTTCCTGGGCTCATGGTAGTCTTCCCACCTCAGTCTTCCAAGTAGCTGGGACCACAGATGCACACCACCACTTCCAGCTAATTTTTGTATTTTGGGTAAAGTTGCAGTTTTGCCACGTTGCCTAGGCTGTTTTCATTTCTTTCTCTCTTTCTTTTTTTTGAGACGGAGTCTTGCTCTGTTGCCAGGCTGGTGGAGTACAGTGATGTGATCTCAGCAGTGATGTGCAACCTCTGCCTCCTGGGTTCAAGCAGTTCTCCTGCCTCAGTCTCCCAAATGGCTGGGACTACAGGTGCACACCACCATACCCGGCTGATTTTTGTATTTTTAGTAGAGATGGGCTTTCACCATGTTGGCCAGGATAACTCAAACTCCTGACCTCGTGATCTGCCCGCCTTGGCCTCCCAAAGTACTAGGCTGATAGGCGTGAGCTACCGTGCATGGCTGGTCTTTTCATTTTTTTATTTTTATTTTTATTTATTTTTGGGGGATAGCATTTCACTCTTGTTACCACTTGACTTTGCTTCTGCCTTAGATCACCTTATACTAAAATTTGATGTGAAGCAACACCCCGGCACTGTGAGAAAGTCAGCTTGTGGTTATTCTTTTCAGGAACACATTTTCAACTCCCAGCTACTCCCCTCAGCTGGGCAATTCTCCTTGTAGATCCCTGGGTGGGGTGAGTAGGGCGGGTTTATTTACGGGTTATCTTTATCCTGAAGTCATGCTTCTTTGGGATCCTAGCTTTCAGGGAGAGGGAGAAATCTACTGGTAGACTCCTGTCCTGAGTGGGGTCTGGGTTCGCTATTTTGTCTTTACTCACTGTTAGGTCATGGAAACCTGGCAAATGCCCTTGTGGCAAAAGTGACTTTAACGTTCTGCTGACCTCCCCAGATTCCCATGGTCATTTAGAATTTGGTCTGATAATTCTTGACTCTTATTATCTCATCATGAACTTTAATAAAAACCTGTCTTTTATATTAATTTTATTAAATTTTAATAAAATTTAAATTAAATAAATATTTATTTTATTAAATATTTAATTAAAGGCCATGGTGAGATAATAAAAGGTATTTTAGTTGCTTTTGGTGAGAGGTAGGTCTTAATTCCTGGCTCATAATATCTGTGGAAATGGAAGTCTGGCATGATGGTGTTGAACGGGAAGGAGAGGGTCAGATTTGTGCTTTGGAGAGATTAGTTCTACCTGTTGTGTTTTTGCTTACTCAATGATACTTCTTTTTTTTTGAGACGGAATCTCATTCTGTCGCCCAGGCTGGAGTGCAGTGGTGTGATCTCAGCTCACTGCAGCCTCTGCCTCCTAGATTCAAGTGATTCTCCTGCCTCAGCCTCCCAAGTAGCTGGGATTACAGGCGCATGTCACCACGCCTGCCTACTCTTTTGTATTTTTAGTAGAGATGGGGTTTCACCATGGTGGCCAGGCTGGTCTCAAACTCCTGACCTCAGGTGATATGCCCTCCTTGGCCTCCCAAAGTGCTGAGATTGTAGGTGTGAGCCACCATGCCTGGCCTTTCAATGAAATTTCAAGTCCTCCTGCGTGCCAGACTCTGTATTAGGCCCTGGGATCAGCCCCTGCCATATTCCTTGCCCTCTTGAGGCTCATATTCTAGGGAAACAGACACTACATCTGAAAATGAATGTGAAAAATAGTTATGATCTATAGGAATTGATAAGAGGTTACAGACGCTGAGGGGTAGATGAGAACCTGCTTGGATAAGGTGGTCAGGCAAGTCTCTGCAAAGACAACATTGCAGCTGACACCCAGAGGATGGGGAGAAGCCAGCCAGCCATAGCAGAGTGGATAGGAAGGGAGAGCTAAAGGCAGGAAGACTGCTTTGGAGATGTCACAACTGTCTAACAGAGTGGGTAGTCTCTCAGCTGGTCATGGGGGCTCGAACCTATAGTCCCACCACTTGGGGAGGCTGAGGCAGGAGGATCACTTAAGTCCACGAGTTTGAGACCAGCGTGGACAACATGGCCAAACCCCATTTCTACAAAAAATAAAAAATTAGCCAGGCGTGATTGATGGCATAAGCTGGTATTCCCAGCTACTTGAGAGGTTGAGGTGGGAGGTTTGCTTGAGCCTGGGTGGTCAAGGCTGTAGTGAGCCATGATCGTGTCACTGCACTCCAGCCTGGGCAACAGAGTGAGACCCTGTCTTGGGGAGATCAGAGCTGGGGTGGCTATTTGGTCCATTCAGTTCAAGCTGTGAGAGCAGGAGGTGTCAGCTCCAATCTACCTCTGTGACCAGTTCTCCACCCACAGCCCCAGCCACCCCTCCCTGATGTGCTGGTCTGGATGCTCAGCGGGAGGCGCCGTGTGGCCTGGGCCCGGATCCCTGCCCAGGATGTGCTGTTCTCTGTGGTCGAGGAGGAACGTGGCCAGGACTGCGGGAAGATCCAGAGTCTAATGCTCACGGTGAGGGGGCCTGTGCGTGAGGGGCCGGGAGAAGTGGAGTGGGGCTCATAGGGCAGGGGTAGGCATGGGTGGGGGCCTGTGCTTCCCAACCAGGGGCCCCTGAACGCCTTCCAATTGTCCAAAACACCAGAAAGGGATTGTGCCTTTGCCTTGGACAGCTTTGAAATCAGATAAACCCCAAATCTTCCTAGCTCTGGGCCTGCATGGGCCCTTTTGCTAACTAGACCCTGACAAGCAGGGTACCAAAAATGAGAACGTGTGACTCACCCCTTAAAAGTGTGGCTGGTCTGGCTGGCACAGTTGCTCACGCCTGTAATCCCAGCACTTTGGGAGGCTGAGGTGAGTGGATCACTTGAGGTCAGGAGTTAGAGAACAGCCTGGCCAACATGATGAAACCCCGTCTGTATTAAAAATACAAAAAAAAATGGTGGTGCATGCCTATAATCCCAGCTACTAGGAAGGCTGAGGCAGGTGAATCACTTGAACACAGGCGGCAGAGGTTGCAGTGAGCAGAGATCACACCCTTGCACTCCAGCCTGGGCAATAGAGTGAGACTCCATCTTAAAAAAAAAGTGTAGCTGGTTATTTTTTTGTAGCAGGCCAAATATTTCTAAATGAAGCATCCCTGGAAAAGATACCGAAAAGGGTCCCTAGCAGGGGGAAGTAGTGACCCTTGGGGTTGGGGACAGGGAATGTGAACATGTTGGGGTGGAGGGGATAAAGGTGGGAGAGCAGAGCTCAGAGTGTTGTTAGTGGTCTGTGTGTGGGGTACAGAAAGTGGTAGTGTTAGGGCAAGAGGTGTAGGGACTGAGCATGTGAGGGTCATGGCATAAGAGGGCAGGAAGAGGGTCAGGCTGGGCATGTAGGGAGTGGACTGGGAGCTTGGCATGGTGTAGCGATGTGCAGTACAGTGTGCCCTGGAGAAGCTGGATTGCTATAGGTCTAGCTGGGGTCATGAGAGGAGGCATCAGGGCCCTGACATGGCTTCTTTACACACAGGCACCTGGGGCACCCCCTGGTGAGGTCTGTGCCAAGCTGGAGCTCTTCCTGTGGCTGGGCCTAGGCAAGCAAGCCAAGGCCTGTACCTCCGAGCTGCCCCCAGACCTGCTGCCCGAGCCCTCGGCCGGGCTGCCCTCCAGCCTGCACCGGGACGGTGAGTGCAGAGGGTGGGCAAGGCAGGTATAAGGCCCACCTCACTCTTCGCACAAGTTGTGGGGCTGAGTCAGGGGACTCCAATGATCTCCTGAGCAAACATGGCATCTTCCTTGCCCTCACCCCAGACTTTAGCTACTTCCAACTCCGGGCTCACTTGTACCAGGCCCGAGGTGTGTTGGCAGCAGATGACAGTGGCCTCTCAGACCCCTTTGCTCGAGTCATCATCTCTACCCAGTGCCAGACCACACAGGTGAGGGCTGGGATGGCATGTGGGTGGAAGGAATCCAGGAGGCAAGGTGGGGTAGGTCTAAGCTTTCCCCCAAGGCCTCAAGACTATCTTCCCACCCTGGGTTTGCACAGCAGGGTATCAGGATGGGGTACAGGATGCCTCTACCTTAGGGGGTGATATAGAGCCAGGGGTCTTAGGGGTGAGAGGCTGTTTTCTAGGTTTTTTAGGCCTAGACTCTGAGGGTGGCCAGTTGCAACAGGGAGGCAGGGCTGGGAGGGGCCAGCGGCAACACCTTCTGGGAAGATGCTTTCGTCTTCGTCACATCTCACTCCTCTTGTGACAAGCAGTTACTTGAAGTATCCTTCAGAGCAGGGGTGCTCACATGATGTGACTTGCATGTTGGGAGGCTTCTCCTGACACTTGCTGCTGCATGGTCCCAAGGTCCTGGAGCGGACGCTGAGCCCACTGTGGGATGAACTCTTGGTATTTGAGCAGTTGATCGTGGACGGGAGGAGGGAGCACCTGCAGGAGGAGCCTCCATTAGTGATCATCAATGTCTTTCACCACAATAAGTTTGTGAGTGTGGCCTGGGCCCTCCCTGGGTCCCCAGCCTGGAATTTCCCCCTTGATGCTTGCCTTCCCCTTTGTCTTCACTGCCCTGCTCCCCCTAGGGCCCCCCTGTGTTCCTGGGCAGGGCACTGGCCCCCCCAAGGGTAAAGCTGATGGAGGACCCATACCAACGCCCAGAGCTGCAGTTCTTCCCCCTGAGGAAGGGACCCCGGGCAGCTGGAGAGCTCATTGCCGCCTTTGAACTCATCGAACTGGACTACAGTGGTCGACTTGAGGTCAGCATGCCCTGGCGTGGCTGGCAAAGGCTGTGAGCCCAACTCATTAATCCATCAGGCCATCCAACCCCAGGGAATATAAAATATGGGTGTGTCCCAGGGTCAGCCCCTAGGTCTCTTATCCCCAGAGAATACAGACTGCAGCTCTGTCCTGAGGTCACTTCATTGGACCACTTGATCCCAAGGCACATTGCAAGTATTCATGTGTCAGGTTCACTTTGTTGGGCCATCCTGCATGCCTCAGACACCTCCCTCCCTTCCTGCACTCTACTGCTTCCCCAGACCCCCCCCCCCTTCCTCCAATCCAGACTTGGCCGGTTCCCCTGCGCTTATACTTCACCAGCACCTCTCCATTTCCCCTCCCCACACCTAGGCTTTCCCTCCTTTGGCCTGATTCTTTTTTGCCCTCTGAACTTTTCCCTCCTACAGCCCTCTGTGCCCAGTGATGTGGAGCCCCAGGATCTGGCACCACTGGTCGAGCCCCTCTCTGGACGTCTGTCCCTTCCACCCAACGTGTGCCCAGTGCTCAGGGAGTTCCGTGTTGAGGTAGCACCAGGCAACCAAAGCCCCTTTGTTCCCCCACATCTGGGTGCCCGTTTGGCCGGTGCAGGCCCCTGAATCTCCCACTTCCTGACCCCAGGTGCTGTTCTGGGGTCTTAGGGGCCTTGGTCGTGTGCATCTGTTCGAGGTGGAGCAGCCCCAGGTTGTACTGGAGGTGGCTGGGCAACGTGTGGAGTCTGAGGTCCTGGCCAGCTACCGTGAGAGCCCCAATTTCACTGAGCTTGTCAGGCATCTGACCGTGGTGAGGCCATGGGCTAGGGGACAAGGAGGGCAGAATAATGAAAGAGGGCAGTGGATGGTGACTTTCTACCTGGTTATCTTAGATTATCCAAGGGTCAGCAAACTCTCTGTAAAGGGCCAAATAGTAAATATTTCATGCTTTGAGGGCCAACCAGTCTGTTGCAGCTATTCAACTTTGCCATGATGGCATGAAAACTGCCATAGATAATATGAAAATGAATATTTACAAAAACTGACAGCAGGCCAGACTCTGTCTATGGGCTGTAGTTTGCTGATCCCTGGATTAACTCATGGACTTGTGGTGCTCTCTAGGCATTACTGATGCTCTGCTTCACCTCTTGAACAAGCCTCCTTGATGATTTTCTGTCTATCCGTTACTGAGAATAGGGTATTGAAGTCTCCAACTATTACTGCTGAATTGTATATTTCTCTCTTTAATTCTATAACTTTTTTAGTTTTTGTATTTTGAGGCTCTTGTTAGGTGCATATATGTTTATAATTGTTGTATCTTCTGGATGAATTGACCTGTTTACCATTATAAAATATCTCTTTGTCGCTAGTAATATTTTTTGTATTAAAGTCTGTTTTCTCTAGTGGTATAACTACTCCAGCTCTCTGTGGTTACTGTTTGCATGATATATCTTTTTCTATACTTTTACTTCATCCTTTATGTGTCTTTGAATCTAAAGAGTATATCAGGCTGGGCATGGTGGCTCACTCCTATAATCCCAGCACTTTGGGAGGCCAAGGCGGGCAGATCACCACTGAACTCCGGCGTGGGCGACAGAGCAAGACTCTGTCTCAAATTAAAAAAAAAAAAGCATACTATGATTTCACAGTCTACTTCAGATTAATACTTATTTAGTTCCAGGAAAATATACAAACTTTTCTGCAGAAGATGGAGACCATCCTGGCTAACACGGCAAAAACCCATCTCTAATAAAAATACAAAAAATAAGCTGGGCATGGTTGCATGTACCTGTAGTCCCAGCTACTCGGGGGGCTGAGATGGGAGAATTGCTTGAACCCAGGAGGCAGAGGTTGCAGTGAGCAGAGATTGTGCCACTTCACTCCAGCCTGGGAGACAGAGCGAGACTCTATCTCAAAAAAAAAAAAAGTATCTCCTAGCATGGAGTTGCATCTCTTTTTTTAATCCAATTGACAACCTCTGTCTTTTAATTGGTGTTTAATATGATCACACTTGATGCTATTATTGGTTGAATTTAATCTGCCATTTTGCTGTTTGTTTTCTATGTCTTATGTATTTTTTGTTCCTCTTTTACTACTTTCTTTTGTATTAAATAGATGCTTATTATATATATATATATATATATATGTAATTTTTTTTTTTGAGACGGAGTTTCGCTGTTGTTACCCAGACTGGAGTGCAATGGCACGATCTCGGCTCACCGCAACCTCCGCCTTCTGGGTTCAGGCAATTCTCCTGCCTCAGCCTCCTGAGTAGCTGGGACTACAGGCGTGCATCACCATGCCCAGCTAATTTTTGTATTTTTAGTAGAGACGGTTTTCACCTTGTTGACCAGGATGGTCTCGATCTCTTGACCTCGTGATCCACCCGCCTTGGCCTCCCAAAGTGCTGGGATTACAGGCGTGAGCCACCACGCCCGGCCTATATAATGTTTTTTTTTTTTTTTTTTTTTTTGAGACGGAGCCTCGCTCTGTTGCCCAGGCTAGAGTGCAGTGCCATGATCTTGGCTCACTGCAACCTCCATCTCCCCAGTTCAAGCAATTCTCCCGCCTCAGCCTCCTGAGTAGCTGGGACTACAGGCACGTGCTGCCACACCTGGCTAATTTTTTGCGTGTTTCACTACAGACAGGGTTTCACCATGTTGCTCAGGCTGGTCACAAACTCCTGAGCTCAGGCAATCCACCCACCTTGGCCTCCCAAAGTGCTGGGATTATAGGCATGAACCACAATGCCTGGCCTATATTTTGATATTTATTAGTGTACTATTTTAATCTGTTGATTTTTACTTAGTAGTTTCTCTAGGGCTTAGAATTTGCATACTACTATTTCACAGTCTACTTCAGATTAATTCTAATATAGTTCCAGTAAAATAAACTTTTCTGTGGTATAGCTCTATTCCTTCCTTTCTCTTTTGTGCTACAATTGTCATATATATGTGTATATATGTATATATCTACAAATACATAAAATAAACCCATTAATACAGTAGTAAAATTGTTTCCCTTAGGATCCATTGATAGATATGGAATTCCTGGGTTTATATATATATATACACACACACACACCAAAAAATATATATGCATATTTATACATATATATGTATATATGTTTATATATATGCATATATATATGTATATATGTTTATATATGTGTGTTTATATATATATATGTGTGTTTATATATATATATGGCCTTTAACCCTAAAGTGGCCTTTAATAAAGATAAAATAAACCATTATATATATATATTTTTTTTTTTTTTTCCCTTCCTCGTCCCCCATAATATATGTTTTAAGACAGAGTCTCACTCTGTCAGCCAGGCTGGAGTGGCGTGCTCTCGGTTGACTGCAACCTCTGCCTCCCAGGTTCAAGCTGTTCTCCTGCCTCAGCCTCCCAAGTAGCTGGGATTACAGGCACCTATCACCACGCCCAGCTATTTTTTTTTGTATTTTTAGTAGAGACAAGGTTTCACCATGTTGGCCAGGCTGGTCTTGAACTCCTGACCTCAAGTGATCTGCCTGCCTTAGCCTTCCAAAGTGCTGGGATTATAGGTGTGAGCCAACATGCCCAGCCAATATATATATGTAAAGTGTGTGTGTGTGTGTTTATATGTGTGTGTATACATATATATAGTTTAGAAAGGGTCTCTCTCTCACTCTGTCACTCAGGCTGAAGTGCAGTGGTGCAGTCTTGGCTCACTGCAACCTCTGTCCCCTAGGCTTAAGTGATCCTCTCACCTCAGCCTCCTGAGTAGCTGGGACCACAGGTGTGCATCACCATGCCTGGCTGGTTTTTTTTGTCTTTTTGGTAGAGACGGTGTCTTACCATGTTGCCCAGGCTGGTCTTGAACTCCTGAGCTCAAGCAATCTGCCTGCCTCAGCCTCCCAAAGTGCTCTGGTAACAGGCGTGAGCCACCATGCCCAGCCTCTGACAGCACTTTGTAGGCTCCACAGTACTTAGGTATCTATTATGTCATTTGATACTTAAAGCAGTCTTTTGAATCCAGGATTGTGTCCCTTTTTTAGCTGGGAAGCAGGGTGAGAAGGCTTAGCAGAGGTGACACAGTGAGACTATGGCATGGCTGGGCTTAGAATACAGGTGTAGATGTATTTTTTTCCTCCTTGTCTCTGTGACTGCCTTTCCCTCTTCCCCAGGTCTTCAAAGACACAATTCCTCTCTTCCACCCCCAGGACTTGCCAGAGCAGCCTCACTTGCAGCCCCCACTCAGCATCCTGGTGATTGAGCGCCGGGCCTTTGGCCGCACAGTCCTTGTGGGTTCCCACATTGTCCCCCATATGCTGTGATTCACATTTCGGGGACATGAGGATTCTCCTGAGGAGGAAGGAGAGATGGAGGAGACGGGTGATATGATGCCCAAGGGACCGCAAGGTGAGAAACCTTCTCCTTCAGGGCCCCAGACAGGGGCCCCTCTGATTCCTGGCAGATGTGGCTCCAGAGGCCCTCCGATGGGGTATGGAGTCTGACTAATCTCTTCATGCTGCCGTGTTCCCCCTCCCAGGACAGAAGTCCCTGGATCCCATCTTGGCTGAAGCGGGTCTATCCAGACAGCTCCTAAAGGTGATGGGCAGAGGAGCTAGGTGGAGAAGGGACTGGCAGGACTTAGGATGGTACTGGGCTAAAGGGAGAAAGTCTGTTCTTCCTCAGCCTCCTCTGAAGAAGCTCCGCCTAGGAGGCCTCTTGAATCAAGGCCCTGAGCTGGAAGAGGACATCCCAGATCCGGAAGAGCTCGACTGGTGGTCCAAGTACTATGCATCGCTGCAGGAGCTCAAGGGGCAGGTGGGGGAAGAGAAGGGTCCCAGGACAGGGCTGGGGTGTCAATGGTATAATGAATGATCTTTTAGCTGGGCATGGCAGCGCATGCCTGTAGTCCCAGCTACTTAGGAGGCTCAGGTGGGAGAATTGCTTCAACCTAGAGGCAGAGGCTCCAGTGAGCCGAGATCATGCCACTGCACTCCAGCCTCGGCAACAGTGAGACTCTGTCTCAAAAAACAAACAAAAACAAGAATGATCTCATTCAAGGTGGAGCTCTACAGTTTTTCAAAGTTCTTCATTGCAGTCATCTTTTCTTCACAATTCTATGAGCTGGGAATTATTATTTGAGATGGAGTTTTGCTCTTGTTGCCCAGGCTGGAGTGCAATGGCGCAATCTCAGCTCACTGCAACCTCTGCCTCCCAGGTTCAAGCAATTCTCCTGCCTCCCTAAGTTGCTGGGATTACAGGCGCATGCCACCAGACCCAGCTAATTTTTGTACTTTTAGTAGAGGTGGGGTTTCACCATGTTGGTCAGGCTGGTCTCAAACTCCTGATCTTATAATCTGCCTGCCTCAGCTTCCCAAAGTGCTGGGATTACAGGTGTGAGCCGCTGCACCAAGCCCGAAGCTGGGTATTATTAACTCCATTATCTAGAGCTATGTTGTTCAACAGAGATATAATATGAGCCACATATGTAATTTTAACTTTTGTTATAGCCACATTAAAAAAGTAAAAGGAAAAAGGTGAAATTAATTTTAGTAATATATTCAAAATATCATTTCAAGCCTGGGCATGGTGGCTCATGCCTGTAATCCCAGCACTTTGGGAGACCAAAGCAGGCAGATCACTTGAAGTTAGGAGTTCAAGACCAGCCTGGCCAACATGGAGAAACCCCATCTCTACTAAAAATACAAAAATTAGCTGGGTGTGGTGGTGGGCACCTGTAATCCCAGCTACTTGGGAGGCTGAGGCAGGAGAATCACTTGAACCTGGGAGGTGGAGGTTTACAGTGAGCCGAGATCGAGCGAAACTCCGTCTCAAAAAAAAAAAAAAAAAGCAAGTACCATACACAGCTGGAACTTGAATGAACGAAGGTTTCCCAGCTTTCTTGGAAAAGGAGGTAGAGTCAGGAGTTGAAGGGGATGGGGAAGAATCTCTGGATCTGTTCTTTAATTTCAGCACAACTTTGATGAAGATGAAATGGATGATCCTAGAGATTCAGGTAAGAGATCGGACTTTTTGCCCTGGTTCCATCTGCCCATCCCCTACACATCCAGATATTTCTGACCGGGGTGTTTTTGCTATTTCCAGATGGGATCAACCTCATTACTATGGTTGGGGAGGCCCACGACCAGGGTGAGGCTGAAGTTAAAGGCGCTGTGTCCCCAAAAAAAGCGATTGCCACCCTGAAGGTGACTGGGTACTGGAGGGAGGAAAGTCTCCTTGAGTTGTGGACGTCGGACTGTCACTGAAGTCCTTGCCTTTTAGATCTACAACAGGTCCCTGGAGGAAGAGTTTAATCACGTTGAAGACTGGCTGAATGTGCTTCCTCTGTACCGAGGGCAAGGGGGCCAGGGTGGAGGTGGAGAAGAGGAAGGATCTGGACACCTTGTGGGCAAGTTCAAGGGACATTTGGGGAAGGAAAGTGGAACCGGGGAGCCCAGGCGGGGATTCAGGAGCACAGTTCTCTTACTAGAGCCTTTTCTGTCTCCCCACAACTCAGGGCTCCTTCCTCATTTATCCTGAATCAGAGGCAGTGTTGTTCTCTGAGCCCCAGATCTCCCAGGGGGTTCCACAGAACCGGCCCATCAAGCTCCTGGTCAGAGTGTATGTTGTAAAGGTGAGTCTCCACGGCCTTGGCACACCTCAACTATAGCTAAGGCAAGGCACACAAAACCTACAGAGGGAAGGCTTGGGGAGGAACCTCGGGATCACAGAGTCCAGGTTCTTCATTTTTCAGACGAGAAATCTTAGCCACAAAGTTAGGAGATCACCTAGGGTTATAAAGCATGCTCATGGCAGAACCAAAATTTGGAGTTGGTTTCCTAACCCCTGTTTTTACTTCAAGTCCTATAGAATGGGGAGTACAATTCTAGGATGAGGGCAGGACTGAATCTCAGGCTTCAGAAGGCTTGTTACCTTTGTCCATTGGTGCAGTTTTCATGCTGAGTTCAGCAGGGCCTTGAAGTCTTAAGGATATCTCAGGGAGCAAGGGGGAATGAGTGGGTTGCTCCGCCGTCCACTCCCTGTCACCAGAGAAGATGCTGTATTTTTATCTGTTTTAAATGTAGGAATTCTGTCTAAGGCATAATTTGAAGAAACATTCTCTTTTTACTTGAGACAGGATCTTGCTCTGCTGCACAGGCTGGAGTACAGAGACACAATCATGGCTCACGGCAGCCTCAACCTCCTGGGCTCAAGCAATTCTCCCACCTCAGCATCTCAAGTAGCTGGGACTATAGCATGCACCACCACGCCCCGCTACTTCTTAAAAAATTATTATTCGTAGAGACAAGGTCTTACTATGTTGCTCAGACTATGTTGCCTCAAACTCCTGGGCTCAGGGGATCCACCTATCTCAGTTTCCCAAAGTGCTGAGATTACAGGCATGAGCCACTGCACCCGGCCTTGAAGCAACATTCTATGGCACTGTGCTATCGTAATGTAATACTCGCAGTGTATAAATTAGTAGAAGGTGGTCGAGCATGATGGCTCACACCTGTAATCCCAGCATTTTGGGAGGCCAGAGCAGGTGGATCACTTGAGCTCAGGAGTTCAAGACCAGCCTGGCCAACATGGTGAAGCCCCATCTCTACTAAAAATATAAAAATTGGCCAGGCATGGTGGCGCATGCCTGTAACCCCAGCTGATCAGGAAGCTGAGGCACGAGCATCACTTTAACTCGGGAGGCAGAGTTTGCAGTGAGCTGAGATCACACCACTGCACTCCAGCCTGGGCAACAGAGTGTGACTCCATCTCAAAATAAATAAATAGCCGGGCATGGTGGCTCACTCCTGTAATCCCAGCACTTTGGGAGGCCAAGATGGGTGGATTGCCTGAGGTCAGGAGTTCGAGAGCAGCTTGGCCAAAATGGTGAAACCCCATCTCTAAAAATAAATAGAAAGAAAGAAGTGGAAGTCACCTTGACCTTCTGCTTCTAACAATATAGCAGATAAGATGAACTGAAATAACTTCCTGATAAAATACATCCAAAAATTCCAGATAAATAGACTTTTAAATGAATGCTAAGCTCATAAAAAGGGAAATCCCAACAGGCCCCCCGTGAAGAGGCCCCCCAGTGAAGAATCCCAAGTGAGAAGGTTTGTCCACACCTGGACCCTGAGCCTCGGGTTTTTTTTTTTTTTTTTTTTTTTTTGTTTGTTTGTTTTAAGATGGGGTTTCACCTTGATGGCCAGACTAGTCTTGAACTCCTGACCTCAGGTGATCCACCCACCTCAGCTTTCCAAAGTGCTAGGAATTACAGGTGTGAGCCACCACACCCGGCCATGGTTTTTTGTTTTTTTGTTTTGAGACTGAGTCCTGCTCTGTCACCCAGGCTGGAGCACAGTGTCGTGATCTTGGCTCACTGCAACCTTCGCCTTCCAGGTTCAAGCAACTCTCTGCTTCAGCCTTCTGAGAAGCTGGGATTATAGGTGCCTGCTACCACAACTGGCTAATTTTGGTATTTTTAGTAGAGGTGGGGTTTCACCATCTTGGCCACGCTGATCTTGAACTCCTGACCTCAGGTGATCCACCCGCCTTGGCCTCCAAAGTGCTTGGATTACAGGTGTGAGCCATCACGCCCGGCCTGGCCTCAGGTTCTTATAGTCTGTGCAGGCTGGGGAGCCAGAAGCAAGACCCTTGCATCAAGTAGACCTTGGTGAAAGGTAGGCAAGGAGACACCACATCCCCCCTGCCCTGGGGAAGGGAGCCTGTGAGGCAGATGGTCTGTCTCATCCTCTGTTCCAGTTGGGAGAAAGAGGAAAAAAAGAAACATTGTCTTTAGAATTTATTATTAGAGTTTTTCCTTCACAGGGATTGAATTCATATATCTGCTTAGTCCAGAAAACTCAAAGTGGGCAGATTGGCTCAAAGTGTTTCCAAATCTGGTTTCACAGGTTCCACAGATTTCAATAACCAAATATGGGCTCAAAATATAAAATTATAAACTACTCGAGAAAATCTACCAGGAAAATTTGTCAGAAGACACAAAAGAGAATTAGACATTGAAGGGCTTTGAATGTTAGAATTTTCAAATATTAGAATGTAAAACAGCCTGAGTGCTGTGGCTCCTGTCTATAATCCCAGCACTTTGGGAAGCCAAGGCAGGAGGATTACTTGAACCCAGGAGTTCAAGACAAGCCTGGGCAACACAGTGAGACCCCCAACATTTTTTTTTTTTTTTTTTTTTTTTTTTTTTTAAACAGTGTTTCCCTCTTGTTGCCCAGGCTGGAATGCAAAGGCAGGATCTCGGCTCACTGCAACCTCCGCCTCCCAGGTTCAAGCAATTCTCCTGCCTCAGCCTCCTGAGTAGCTGGGGTTACAGTCATGAGCCACTGCCCCTGGCCTCGAGACCCCCGTCTTTATAAAAATATATGAAAGAATGTGGCTGGGCATGGTGGCTCACGTCTGTAATCCCAGCACTTTGGGATCATGAGGTCAAGAGATCAAGACCATACATGCCAACATGGTGAAACCTCATCTCTACTAAAAATACAAAGATCAGCTGGGCGTGGTGGCACATGCCTGTAATCCCAGCTATGTGGGAGGCCGAGGCAGGAGAATTGCTTGAACCCAGGAGATGGAGGTTGCAGTAAGCTGAGATCATGCCACTGCACTCCAGCCTGGCAACAGAGCGAGACTGTCTCAAAAAAAAAAAAAAAAATTAAAAGAATGTAAAACAACTGTTTAAAATATTTCAGAAGCAGAGAATAAAAGGTTATCAAAAATGACTCAGCGATTAGTTGGAAATAACCAAATAAAAAATGTTTCAATGAAAGACCATTAAAAATAAAATCTCAGCTAGGCTTGGTGGCCCACACCTGTAATCCTAGCACTTGGGGAAGCTGAGGAGGGCAGATTGCTTGAGCTCAGGAGTTCAACACCAGCTTGGGCAATACAGCAAAACCCTGCCTCAACGAAAAATAAAAAAATTATTAGCCGGGCATGGTGGCACCCAGCTGCTTGGGAGGCTGAGGTGGGAGGATCACTTGAGCCTGGGAGGTCGAGGCTGCAGTGAGACATGTTACACTCCAGCCTGGGCAACAAAGTGAGGCCCTGTTTCAAAAAGTAACAGTAATAGAATCTTAGGCTGGATGTGGTGCCTCACAGTGTAATCCTTGCATTTTGGGAGGCCAGGGCAGGAAGATTATTTGAGCTCAGGAGTTCCAGACCAGCCTGGGCAACTAGTGAGACCCTGTCTTTACAAAAATAAAATTAGCCAGGCATGATGGCACATACCTATAGTCCCAGCTACTTAGGAAGCTGAGGTGGAAGGATCACTTGAGCATGGGAGGTTGAGGCTGCTATGAGCTGAGATCATGCAACTGTACTTCAGCCTAGGCAGCAGGCTTTTTTTTAAGACCCAGTCTCGCCAGGCACTGTGGCTCACGCCTGTAATCCCAGCACTTTGGGAGGCCGAGGCGGGTGGATCATGAGGTCAAGAGATTGAGACCATCCTGGTCAACATGGTTGAAACCCCGTCTCTACTAAAAATACAAAAAGAAATTAGCTGGTCATGGTGGCGCGTGCCTGTAATCCCAGCTACTCAAGAGGCTGAGGCAGGAGAATTGCCTGAACCCAGGAGGCGGAGGTTGCCGTGAGCTGAGATCGCGCCATTGCACTCCAGCCTGGGTAACAAGAGCAAAACTCCGTCTCAAAAAAAAAAAAAAAAAAAAAAAAGAAGACCCAGTCTCAAAAAATATATAAATAAAATAAAATCTTAGGCCGGTCGTGGTGGCTCATGCCTGTAATCCCAGCACTTTGGGAGGCTGAGACAGGCAGATCAGGAGGTCAGGAGAGAGAGACCATCCTGGCCAACATGGTAAAACCCCATCTCTAAAAAATAATAATAATAAAAATAAACAAAATCCTACTGAATTCCCATACATATGAGAGAGGTTGAATAAACTACGGTACATCCACACAATGACGTGCTATGTTTACTATGTAAAACAGAATGAGGACGATCTCTATGAACTTAAATGGAGCAGTTTTCAGGACATACTATAAAGTGAAAACAGTAAAGTGTGAAAGAGTATCTACAGTAAGCTACTCTCAGGTAGGAAGAAAATGATACAGGAAAATGCATATAAAACAGCAACATGGGAAGGATTAATGAGAAACTAAAGAGACCGCTAATGTAAAAAAGGCGCGTGGTGGGCCGGGCACGGTGGCTTATGCCTGTACTTCCCTCACTTTGGGTGGCAGATGACCTGAGGTCAGGAGTTTGAGACCAGCCTGGCCAATATGGTGAAACCCGTCTCTACTAAAAATACAAAAATTAGCTGGTCGTGGTGGGGCATGCCTGTAATCCCAGCTACTTGGGAGGCTGAGGCAAGAGAATCACTTGAACCCAGGAGGCGGAGGTTGCAGTGAACCAAGATCATACCATTGCACTCCAGCCTGGGCAACAAGAGTGACATCTCAAAAAACAAAAACAAAAACAAAAAAAGTAATGATAGTCTGGATATTCAGCCATTTTTTCCCTTATTTTCTCTCTCTTGCCTTCTTTTTTTGCTTGTTTTGAGACGGAGTTTTGCTCTTGTTGCCCAGGCTGTAGTGCAATGGCACAATCTCGGCTTACTGCAACCTCCGCCTTCTGGGTTCAAGCAATTCTCCCAGCTCAGCCTCCTGAGTAGCTGGGACTATAGGCACGCACCACCATGCCCAGCCAGTTTTCGAGATGGGGGTTTCACCGTGTTGACCAGGCTGGTTTTGAACCCCTGACCTCAAATGATCCACCTGCCTCAGCCTCCTGAAGTGTTGGGATTACAGGCGTGAGCCACACCACTTAGCCCTCTGTCTCCTCCTAATGATCCCATTATATGAATATTGGTGCACTTAATGGTGGTCCACGTTTGTTTGAGGCTCTATTTCATTTTTCTTTTTTCTCTTTGTTCTTCGGCTTGCATAACTCTTTTGATCTACCTTCAAGTTTACCAATTCTTTCCTTAGTTCAAATCTATTGAGCCTCTCTAGTGAATTTTAAATTTCAGTTATTGTACTTTTCAACTCCAAAATTTTCATTTGGTTCTTTTAAGAAAAATGTGTGTCTCGGCCGGGCGTAGTGACTCACACCTGTAATCCAAGCACTTTGGAGGCCAAGGCGGGCGGATCATCTGAGGTTGGGAGTTTAAGACCAGCCTGACCAACATGGTGAAACCCCATCTTAAAAAAAAATGTGTATCTTTTTACTGATATTCTCTATTTGATGCGATGTCATCCTCATACCTTCCTTCCCTAATCAAGCTTTCCTTCAGTTCTGTGTACATATTTACACTGGCTACTTTGAAATACTTTCCTGTTAAATTCAACATTGCGTTGCTCTCACAGGCATTTTCTGTTACCTCCTTTTTTGCGGGGTGGATGGAAAAATAATTTTTCTATTACTTTGCATGTCTCAGAATTTTTTGTTGGAAATGGCATTTTAGGTAATATATGGTAGCAACTCTGGGTACTGGGGTTTCTTCTTGTTATTTGCTTATTTATTTAGTGACTGGCTGGATAATTTTAGTGAAGTCTATTTCCCGTCCCCTGTGGTAGGTCACTGATGTTGCTACTCTGGCATGCAGCTTTGGACATGCCACTGTCCCCTGAGGATGGCAGTGGTACTCTAGGGCCCTCCTGCATTCTTTTCTATGACTACACTCTGTGAAGCTCCACTGATTGCTCAGTTGTTTGCAGCAGTACCCTGGGAGCATAAAATCCTCTACAAATGAATCTAATCAAATGATGGCTCTTTCCAGTGAATGCTTTCTGAGATTAGTGTTTGATATTTGTTTTAGCTCCAGAAGAGTTCCTCCCAGCTGTCTTATCCCTTGGTTCTCCGCTGTAAAATAGATACAGTCTGTAGTCCAGTCTGTATCTTCATTAGATCCACAGATCTCCTCCCAATCCCTTCACCACACAACCAGTTTTTTTTGTTTGTTTGTTTTTTGAGACAGAGTCTCACTCTGTTGCCCAGGCCAGAGTGCTGTGGTGTGGTCTCGGTTCACTGCAACCTCCGCCTCCTGGGTTCAAGAAATTCTCCTGCCTCAGCCTCCAGAGTAGTTGGGATTACAGGTGCACGCCACCATGCATGGCTATTTTTTTGTATTTTTAGTAGAGACGGGCTTTGACCCTGTTGACCAGGCTGGTCTCGAACTCTTGACCTCATAATCTGTCTGCCTTGGCCTCCCAAAGTGCTGGGATTACAGACATGAACCACTGTGCCTGGCCTTTATTGTCGTTTCAAAAAAATTAAGCTCAGCCCACTGTGGTGGCTCATGCCTGTAATCCCAGCACTTTGGGAGGCCAAGGTGGGTGGATCACGAGGTCAGGAATTTGAGACCAGCCTGACCAATATGGTGAAAACTTGTCTACTAAAAATATAAAAATTAGTTGGGTGTGGTGGCAAGCACCTGTAATCCCAACTACTCGGGAGGCTGAGGCAGGAGAATCGCTTGAATCTGGGTGTTGGAGGTTGTAGTGAGCCAAGATTGTGCCACTGCACTCCAGCCTGGGCAACAGAAGAGCAAGACTCCATCTCAAAAAAAAAATAATAATAAATAAATAAAAAATAATAAGGTCATTTTAGTGGGTGCGAAGTAGTATCTCATTGTGGTTTTGTTTCCTAGTGGCTAATGACACCGAACAGTCTTCCTGTGCTTTTTAGACCTTCGTGTCTCTTGGAGAAGTGTCAAAGTCCTTTGACCATTTTAAAATTAGATTGATTGTTGTTTTGTTGCTGAGTTGTAGGAGTTCTTTGTATATTCTGGCTACCAGATTCTTATAGCTTGCAGATATTTTCTTTCACTTTCTAGGTTGTCTTGTCACTCTATCGAGAATGTCCTTTGAAGCATAAAAGGTTTTAGTTTTGATGAAGTCCAGCGATCCTGTTTTTTTTTCTTTGTTGACTGTGCTTTTTGGTCATATCTAAGAAACCTTTGCAATATCGAAGGTCATGACGACTTTTGCTTGTTTTCTGCTATGAGTTTTGTAGTTTTGGCTCTCACATTTAAGCCTGTGATCCATTCGAGGTTAGTTTTTGTATATAGTGTGAGGTGAGGGTCTGACCTCATACTTTCACATGTGACTGTCCAGTTGTCTCAGCAAAATTTGTTGAAGAGATGGTTCTTTTCCCATTGAATGGTCTAGGTACCTTTGTTGAAAATTGATTGACTGGACTCTCAATTCTGTTCCACTGATCTGTGTTTATGCCCCTACTCCTTTATTACTGTAGCTTTGTAGTAAATTTGGGGGTTTTTTTTTTTTTTTTTTTTTTTTTTTTGAGACAGGGTCTTGCTCTGTTGCCCAGGGTGGGGTGCAGTGACATGATCATGGCTCACTGCAGCCTGACCTCCCGGGCTCAAGCAGTCCTCCCACCTCAGCCCCTGAAATAGCTGGGATTAGAGGCACATGCCACCATGCCCAGCTAATTTTTTCTGTTTTTTAGTAGAGACAGGGTTTTGCCATGTTGCCCAAGCTAGTCTTGAACTCTTGAGTTCCTGCCTGTCTTAGCCTCCCAAAGCACTGGGATTATAGGTGTGAACCACCAAGGCTGTCCGGCACAGGAAATGAAGGCTTGACTGAGTATCCCTAACTAGGATTTGGACAGGACAAGAGAGGAAAGAGATTTCAGCTAATAAAATTAATATGTAATCACTAGGAGAAAAAAAAAGCTTTGCCTTTGTGAAGCTTGCATTCTAGTAGGAGAAACAAACATTAACAAAATAAGTAAATGTTACAGTGGCTAGAAAGGCATATATGTGGCCTGGTGTGGTGGCTCACACCTGTAATCCTAGCACTTTGGAAGGCCAAAGCAGGCGGGTCGCCGGAGGTCAGGAGTTCGAGACCAGCTTGGCTAGCATGGTGAAACTCTGTCTCTACTAATAATACAAAAATTACCCGGGGTTTGTGGCATATGCCTGTAATCCCGGCAACTCAGGAGGCTGAGGCAGGAGAATCGCTTGAACTGGGGAGGTAGAGGTTGCAGTGAGCTGAGATTGTGCCACTGCACTCCAACCTGGGCAACAGAGTGAGACTCTGTCTCAAAAAGAAAGAAAAAAGGCGTAAGTGCTATGGAAAATGTAAATATACAAAAGCAAAAAGATAAGTTGGCACAGTGGCTCATGCCTGTAATCCCAACTACTCAGAAGGCTGAGGTGGGAGGATTGCTTGAGGCCAGGAGTTCTCAAGACCAGACTGGGCCACAGAATGAGATCCAATCTCTAAATAAAAAAGATGAAACGGTAATCAGAGAGAAAACAGATTACTACAACGGAATGACAGCCTATCAACTTCTCTACAGCAACCAAAAGTGCTGGAAGAAAAATAGAATAATATATTCAAAGCACCCAGAGAAAAATAACTATCACCCTTGAATTGTGTCCTAGGAAATACTCGTTCAAGAAAGGGAAAAAATGGAAGACTTTAGGCAAACAACAGTTGAAAAAATTAATCACCAAACAACTTTCAGTCAAGAAACTATACAGAGCTGGAGGTGTGGTGGCGCACACTGTGTAATCCCAGCACTTTGGGGGCTGAGGCCAGGAGTTTAGCACCAGCCTGGGCAACATAGCAAGACCCCTGTCTCTACAAAAAGAAAAGTGGGGTGGGGAGGGGAAAAACTACACAGTATATGATTTCTTTTTTTCTTTTTTTTCTGTCACCCAGGCAAGAGTACAGTGGCATGATCTCAGCTCACCGTAATCTCCGCCTCCCAGGTTCAAGCAATTGTCTTGCCTTAGCCTCCTGGGTAGCTGAGATTACAGGCACAGGCACACCACCACCCCTGGCTAATTTTAATATTTTTAGTAGAGATGGGGTTTCACCATGATGGCCAGGCTGGTCTCAAACTCCTGATACAGCAAGTGATCCACCTACCTCGACCTCCTAAAGTGCTGGGATTGCAAGTGTGAGCTACCATGACTGGCTCTACACAGGATATAATTTCAAAAGAAGAAAAATGATTATCAAACAATGAAGGAAGCTAGGCATGGTGGCTCATGCCAGTAATCCCAGCACTTTGGGAGACCAAGGCAGGAGGACTGCTTGAGGCCAGGAGTTTGAGACCAGCCTGGGCAACATAGTGAAACCCCCATCTCTATTTAAAAGAAATAATAAATTAAAAAATAAAATGCAAACCATATAGAAAGTTATGAGTTGAATAGTAAGTAAGTCCCTTATACATCTTTAAAAATACTTTGTTTCATTGTACTTTTCTTATATACCTATTTGTATGTCTTAACTATTTCATAACTAATTGAAAATAAAAATCATCTCATAGTAGGAGATCTCTCCTTGCTAACTTCCTGCTTACACTCAATAGGAAATTAGGTCCGACAAGGGTAACCCTGGGTTATCGTAATGACGTTTCTCTCAATTTCACTCCGTGCTGTTCCCCTAGGCTACCAACCTGGCTCCTGCAGACCCCAACGGCAAAGCAGACCCTTATGTGGTAGTGAGCGCTGGCCGGGAGCGGCAGGACACCAAGGAGCGCTATATCCCCAAGCAGCTCAACCCCATCTTTGGAGAGTGAGGCTGGGCCCTGCGGGGTGGGAATGGGGTAGCTGGGGGAGCAACTTGACCATCCAGCCCTGTGGCCTTGTGGCTGCTGGCCTAGGGATTGCAGGGGAATGGATGGGAGCTGCTGACACCCCACCCCTCCCCAGACCACTTCCTGGAGCATGGAAGTGACCTCAGCCCCTCTCCCTCCTTGCCAGGATCCTGGAGTTAAGCATCTCTCTCCCAGCTGAGACGGAGATGACGGTGGCCATATTTGATCATGACCTTGTGGGTTCTGATGACCTCATCGGGGAGACCCACATTGATCTGGAAAATAGATTCTATAGCCACCACAGAGCAAACTGTGGGCTGGCCTCCCTGTATGACGTGTGAGTCCAGCAGGACCCACAGGAGCTGTTCTAAGTTTCTGTCCAAATACATTCAAGCTCACGTTCCCTTTTGTGTCCCAGATCCTATGATTTCAAGGAAGGGGACCTTCCCATCCCTGCCACTGCCAACCAAGACATAGCTCAGTGGTCAAGACTTGGGCTTGGGAGTTGGGATCTTGTAATGAATGTCACTTGACCTCTTTTTTATTTATTTTTTGAGATGGAGTCTCAGCCTGTCACCCAGGCTGGAGTGCAGGGGCGCAATCTCGGCTCACTGCAACCTCTGCCTCCTGGGTTCAAGCGATTCTCCTGCCTTAGCCTCTTGAGTAGCTGGGATTACAGGTGTGGGCCACCATGCCCAGCTAATTTTTGTATTTTTAGTAGGGACAGGGTTTCACCATGTTGCCCAGGCTGGTCTCAAATGCCTGACCTCAAGTGACCCACCCACCTCTGCCTCCCACAGTGCTGGGACTACAGGTGTGGGCCACTGCGCCCGGCCCACTTAACCTCTTTGAGTCCCAGTTTTCTCATTTGCAAAACAGAGGTAATAAGATAGGTATCTTTTTTGTTTTTTTGAGAGTCTTGCCCTGTTACCCAGGCTGGAATGCAATGGCACAATCTCGGCTCACTGCAGCCTCTGCCTACCAGGTTCAAATGATTTTGCTGCCTCAGCCTTCCACGTATCTGGGTTTATAGGTGCCTGCCACCACACCCAGCTATTTTTATATTTTTACTAGAGACAGGGTTTCACCATGTTAGCCAGGCTGGTCTCAAACTCCTGACCTTGTGATCTGCCCACCTCCCAAAGTGCTGGGGTTACAGCCACCACGCCTGGCCCAGTATCTTCTTAATAGAAGCACCCGGCCTAGATTTTGTTTCATCATCATAAATGAGGACTAACCTGTCTCCCATTGGAGTTTTGAACCTGAACCTCATGTCTTCATGACATCATCCCTGCCCCTAGACCCAACTGTGTCCCTACACCAGCCCCAGCTGACGCATCTTCCTTTTCTGCCTACAGGGATGGTTACAATGCCTGGCGTGATGCATTCCGGCCTTCCCAGATCCTGGCGGGGCTGTGCCAACGCTGCGGCCTCCCTGCCCCTGAATACCGAGCTGGTGCCGTCAAGGTGGGCAGCAAAGTCTTTCTGACACCGCCTGAGATCCTGCCCCCAGGTACCAGCCCCTTTCTGTTCAAACAAGATGTTGGTTGAAGGTACAGGGGTCCCAGGTGCCCAGTCTTGTGTGCCCCCCAAAATAACCCATTGCTTCAGCAAGCAGAGCTGAATTTGGTGGAGTAAGGACAAGGTTCTTAGGTGTTAGGGAGAAAAGTCTTTATTGGTGAGTGTGTGATCCCCCAAAAAGCAAAAGTGGATCCTTAGCTAATCAAGTTCCTAGAACACAGAGGCCCCATACAGTGTCCCATATAACACAAAGTGGCTGCAGAATTAAATGGGTGGAGACATTTTTTTTTTTTTTTTTTTTTTTTTTTTTTTTTTTTTTGAGACAGGGCCTCACTCTGTTACCCAGGCTGGAGTGCAATGGTGCCATCTCAGCTCACTGCAGTCTGGACCTCCGAGGCTCAAGCAATCCTCCCACCTCAGTCCCCCAGAGTAGCTGAGATTACAGGGCATACCATCACGCCCACCTGTTTTTTTTTTTTTTTTTGGTAGAGATGGGATTTTGCCATGTTGCCCAGGCTGGTCTCAAACTTCTGGACTCAAGCGATCGTCCCATCCTGGCCTCCAGACGTGCTGGGATTACAGGCATGAGCCACTGTACTTGCTCTGGTGGCTTATTTTCTCTCATTATTTTTTACTTCTTTTTTCTTTTTATTTTTTCAATTTTTTATTTTTTCCTTTTTTTGTGTTTCTGGTGGCTTATTTTCTAAACAGGGTCTAGAAGTGGCATCTCAAATCCCACTGTCCCACTGACTGCTGGCTCTTCACTGGGCAATGTTATAGCAGCTTCCCCTTTTTGCGTATTACAGACCTACTTTCCTAGTCCACAGGGCTTTATCCAATACAGAGGGGCTTCCCCAGCTTAAGAGTTTCTGTGGCTGGGCAGGGGGAGGGGGAGGGAGGAAAGCTGGAACCTGTGTGGAACCCAAGCTCACATACCTCTTGTTTCAGGCAGCAGAGGCCTCAAGGTGGCAAGTGGGGACCCTGAAGAGGCCCAGGCATTGCTTGTACTGCAGCGCTGGCAGGAAATGCCAGATTTTGGGATCCAACTGGTACCCGAGCATGTAGAAATACGTCCTCTCTACCATCCCCGCAGCCCGGGGCTGCTGCAGGTGAGGAAGGGCACCCAGCCTCAGCATCACATGACTCCTGGAATCCCAGGACGCCCACCTGATCCTGGCCCCTGGGTCCCCAGGATGGCCTTTCCCCAAGATGTCTAGCTGGGTGCCACCTGTAGCTCTTAACTACAGCTCCCATTGCTAGTCCTTGTGTCGCACCCACTTTGGACCTCCATCCTGGACCACACCCTCACCCCAAGCCTAGTCCTAGGATCCCCACCCTGAGTACCAAGGCTCACTTCTGGGGTTCCCAACCTGATCTCCCCCCAGGTTCCTAAGATCTAGACCTCAACTTCCCCTTCTGGATCTTTTTTTTTTTTTTTTTCTGAGATGGGGTCTTGCCCTGTTGCCCAGGCTGGAATGCAGTTGCACGATCTCAGCTCACTTCAACCTCCACCTTAAGGGTTCAAGTGATCCTCCCACCTCAGGCTCTGGAGTAGCTGGAATTACAGGAGTCCACCATCATACCCAGCTAATTCTTATATTTTTTGTAGAGACAGGGTTCTGCCATGTTGCCCAAACTCCTGAACTCAAGTGATCTACCCTCCACAGACTCCCAGAGTGCTGGGATTATAGGCCTGAGCCACCATGTCTAGCCTGGACCTCATCCTTGAACCCCTAACCTAACCTTGATCCTGGAACCCACACTTCAGACTCCACCTTCATCCTCATCTCCCAGGAACTGCCTGACCCTGTCATTTTGACCCTAGTTCTTTTCTCCACTTGAGGACAAGACACAGTATGTGGCCACAGAGCTGTCACGGAAGGTTGGGAGCCTGGTAAGGCTCTCCAGCCTGGTCCTGTCCCCCCAGGGATCTCTTCACATGTGGATTGACATCTTTCCTCGAGATGTGCCTGCCCCACCCCCAGTTGACATCAAGCCTTGGCAGCCAATCAGGTGAGAGTTCTGTCCCTGCTTCCCAAGGCAGGTGCACATCTTGGTCTGCTTGTACAAGGGTCCTCTGAAAACCTGGGTCCCCAGCGAAGCAGGCAGAGGCTGCTGATCACAGGCTTTTCAGTTAGGTGTCACTAAGTTCCCTTTCATTCATAAGCCATTGCGAGTTGAGTGTCTCTTGTAAACTGAGTCCATGTACCTTTTGGTAAGCCCCTTCCAACCTGAGCTCATCTGAGTGGAGTTGTGTGTGGGGCACAGCCACTTCACATAGGGCTGAATGCAGATGCTCTGGTGGCAGCAGCCTGTCACTTTCTGACTCTGGGGGCAAGGTGGCGTCTAACAGTGAGAGGCTTTCATCTTCGACAGGCCATTTGGGCAGAAACAAACATCTTCCCCCATTATAGCAGAAGCCTCAGTAGACCAGCTTGGGTTAAACGCTGCGCTCTGAACCTGTCATCATGGTCAGGGGCCTGTAATACTCTCAAGTTGGCCAGTCCAGTGATATGCCCCTACCCATGCCCAGCCAGGGAGGGAGGGAGGGGCCTGCCCCACCAGAATTCCATAGATTGACTGTGGTGGTGGTGGGGAGGGGTGGTTGGGGTTGGGGGCGGGGGCGTGTCACCAGTATAAAATCATGGTGCTGTCAACAAATGAGGGGAAGTAGATGCTGGGCTGGAGAAAACAGCTATCCGGGCACCCCAATGGCAGCCCAGGACAGGGTCACATGAGGGTAGGGTCCAGAATATTGCACCCCCCTGTCCTTCAGGGGCTGCACGCTCTCATCTCCCATCTCTCATCCTCCGTCTTCTCCCTGCAGACAGGCTTTCTCTGTTCACTCACTACTTTTCTATACCCACACTCTGGCTTGTAGTGGCACTAGCTCTGTGTCTGATGCAATGGTGCAGGGTCCCGATTCCAAATTCATAGGAAGGAGAACCTCGCTGGCCCAACAGACCATTCTTGGTGCCATCTGCTGTGGCTATGGTGGTGACAGCTGGGGCTGTCCCTTCAAGGGATCACAGGCCATCGGATTACCCTCCTGGTGCCCAGTGAATGTCAGTGGCCCTGGCCCAGGTCCCTCCTTCCTGCAGCCCCTTCCAGGGCCCCTCTGGAGAGTCTGAAGCCACTCCCTAATGTGCCAACCCCCACTCCCAGCTATGAGCTCAGAGTTGTCATCTGGAACACGGAGGATGTGGTGCTGGATGACGTGAATCCACTCACCGGAGAGATGTCAAGTGACATCTACGTGAAGAGGTAGCCTGCAGCCCGGGCGGGTGGTCCACTAATCGGGGATTGCAAAAGGGTGTGGGCCCTCAGGCTGAGTCCAGGGCCCGTCATCAGGCCCTCTGTGGTGCTGAGAGCTGGGTGAGGAGTGGGTTCTTGATGTACCTCCTGACCTGACGCTCACCCACCTTGGCCCCAGCTGGGTGAAGGGGCTGGAGCATGACAAGCAGGAGACAGACGTTCACTTCAACTCGCTGACTGGGGAGGGGAACTTCAATTGGCGCTTTGTGTTCCGTTTTGACTACCTGCCCACTGAGCGGGAGGTGAGCGTCCGGCGCCGGCCTGGACCCTTCGCCCTGGAGGAGGCCGAGTTCCGGCAGCCAGCAGTGCTGGTCCTGCAGGTCTGGGACTATGACTGCATCTCCGCCAATGACTTCCTTGGTATTGCACTGCTCAGCTTTCCCCACCCTCAACCCCTGCCTCTAGCTCTTGCCTCTGGCCCCTGGTTCCCTTCTCTGACCCAACCTTGAATCTTGGGATTTTAGACTGGAGGCCTGAACCTTTGCTTTCTGGTTTAATTACTGAGTTAATTAAGCCCAGACCACAATAACCTCCATTCACACCAAGTCCCTGGTTCAACTCTGATCTGACCCTAGCTTGTCACCTGCTGACTCCACAGCCCTTGGTCCTTGGCACTCTGATCCTGACTCTTGGCAATGGGTGGCCCATAGCTGTGGCCTGACCACACCCTTTAACTTTCTACGCCCCAACTTACAACCCTAGTGTGTTGCCTCCTCACCCCGGGCCCAATGAGCCTTTGATCCCAGGCCTAACCCGGTGAGCTCTGGACTTGCAGGATCCCTGGAGTTACAGCTACCAGACATGGTGCGTGGGGCCCGGGGCCCTGAGCTCTGCTCTGTGCGGCTGGCCCATGACAGGGCTGGGCCAAGGTGCAACCTGTTTCGCTGCCGCCGCCTGCGGGGCTGGTGGCCAGTGGTGAAGCTGCAGGAGGCAGAGGACGTGGAGCGGGAGGCACAGGAAGCTCAGGCTGGCAAGAAGCGAAAGCGGAGGAGGAAGGGCCGGTCAGAAGACCTGGAGTTCACAGACACGGGTGGCAATGTCTACATCCTCACGGTGGGTACATGTGGACAGAGGCCAGGTTGAGCTGGGGCCTGAGCCCGCTCTCTGCTCCCAATGATGCAGGGGTGTCTTTTTTAGGGCAAGGTAGAGGCAGAGCTTGAGCTGCTGACCGTGGAGGAGGCCGAGAAACGGCCAGTGGGGAAGGGGTGGAAGGAGCCAGAGCCTCTGGAGAAGCCCAGGTGATTCAGGCACAGGGGTGGGGGCCAAAGCCAGGGCCGAGGGGAGGCAGGGTGGCCGAGGGGCTTCCTCCTCATCCTGACACCACTCTTCCCCTCAACAGCCGCCCCAAAACTTCCTTCAACTGGTTTGTGAACCCACTGAAGACCTTTGTCTTCTTCATCTGGCGCCGGTATTGGCGCATCCTGGTGCTGCTGCTGCTGCTGGCGCTGGTCACCGTCTTCCTCCTCCTGGTCTTCTACACCATCCCTGGCCAGATCAGTGAGGTCATCTTCCGCCTCCTCCACAAGTGATTCTCACTGACCTAGGACACCCACCCAGGATGCCAACGCTTCAATCCCTGCTTCTGAAGTTTTTCTTGCCAACATGAGCTACCTGAGTCCAGTACTTTCTCTGAATAAACCTAGCACACAACCACTGACCTGTGATCACATGCTGTCCAAGGCCGGTTCCTCCAGGTGGCAGAGAACAGATGTTCTCGGGTGACCTAAGGTGCTGGGGGCTTTCTTGAAGAATGCCCAGGGATAGAAGGCTGCCCCCATCCCCCACAGGGAAGAAAAGGACCCTGGCAGCCAGGTTCTCACACCCTCTGAGCAGCTTTGCCACTGCTCCTGCTCCTGCTCCTTCCAGCGGCCAGGTCCCTCTCACCTCATCTATTTCTAGCTTCCACCGATCCAGGACAGCTAAGGACTTGACAAACCCCATTAACCACCATCCCTGAGAGAGGCTGACATCAAAGCTGCATCTTGGGTCTGACTCCAGAGCTTCTGCTGTCATTACCCGAGTTCGCTTCCTTTCCCCTTTGCTTTTCCCCTGCCAGTCTTGCATCAACATTCGAGAAATGATCTGATTGATAAATTGGTGGTGGAACCACTCCTGGTTCCCTGGGCTGTAGACTGGTAAGGTCACTGGGCCCTGGTTCTCCACATGTAGCTAGGGTTCTAATGGGAAGCGCTGATTAGGCCCCAAGCTGGGGCTCTGGTGCTGGCCCTGCTCCAGAATGGCCACTGCTACCTTCCTGCCTTGATATTCAGTTTTGCTTCCATCTAGAAGACTGCAAAGGACCTGGAGGGATTCTTCTCTACAGTGAGAGCAACTGTGGGGCTTGGCACAGAGTGGGATCAGTGTGACAGGATCAGGTGACTGAGCCCAGGGTGGCAGAGAGTGGCCCCAGCTTTACCAATCAATGAAGAGGTGGCAAGCCCCAGCCTGCACTCAGGGCCCTGAATTAGTGACCTAGGGTTGGTCACTCATGAGCTTGGAAGCCATGGTGGCTCCAAGAAGCTCAACCTGAAAAGGTCCGTCTGAATCCTGAGGCCGAATCTGAGGGACCTATGACAGGGCTGTGGGCTAGACACGAGCCTGGTTTGAATAAACCCCTGTTAACCAGGGGATGCCCATGTGGGGCTCCCGAGGCCTCTGAGCCCTGATCCATCAGTCACGATTGCGTTCAATGAATGGCTATGGTGAGTCTCTGGCCACCCCAAGGATCACAAGGACACTGGTGAGTACTATCACAACCAATAGATTTATCAACCTGGGGCTGGGACTGACCAAGGAGGGTGGCAGAGGCTGGGGGAGAGAACCACAGGCCAGGGAAAAAGAGGAGACAGAGGGTAATACCAAGGGTGACTACGTTGTCTTCCCTAGATCAATTTTCTTCTGGATGGCTCGTGCTGAGTGGTAGATGAGTGAATCGATGAGTCCAGCCACTGGGAGAGAAACGAGAGCTGGCACTGGCCCAGTGGGGGCCTTGGCTTTTGATGCTGAGAGCCTGGTCATTTAACTGGCCAGGCCAGCATCTGCCCCTTCACCCCCAACCAAACCTGGGGTGCCCAGGCTTGATCTTCCCCACCTCACTGCTCACAGACACCCTGGGCCTCTTACCTGTGAACATGCCCCCAATGATAGCGCACACGCCTGTCAGGAAGTGGGTAAAGGACCTGGTGGAGGGAGCAGGTGGGCTCAGCAGGTACCCACCTCCCTCAGGCCCAGGCCCTGGCCGCTCTGCCCCACCCTTACCTGTGCTTCTCCGTCAGCTTCACCATCATGGGCGAGAGCTCATAGAGGACGAAGACTCCAGGAAGGCCCTGGTCGCCCAACAGACCGTTGGCGACCTTCTCATGTCTGGTCACGGAGAACTGATTTGTCCTCAGCACCTGGGGTGGGATGGGAGGCTAGGCCAGGGCTAGGGCTAGGGCTATGACCTGGCACCAGCCACAATCAGCCCCACCCCTGCTCCTGCCCCTTTCCTGTTGAGGCTTGACAGTGTGGAGGGGAGAATATGGCACCATGCTGCTGGCCAGCACTGCAAGGCCTGGTTCACCAGATCCCCTCTCCTAGCCTTGGCCTCAGACTTCCCCTCCGTTTGCCAGCTCTTTAGTTTACTATCCCGGTGGCGTTTGGTGGGTGTTCTCACGGGGGTTCAGGCTGAGAAGCAGCTCTCCAAAGCTGTATCACCAAGGCTGAACCGACTTCTCTGCCCTCAGCCCCCTCACATCCTGCTGCTCTGCTGAGATGCTCCACAGGCCACAGCAGCCATGGAAACGGGGACACAGAGGCTTGCCCTGCCTAACCCCCAGCCCAGGCTGACCACAGGGGACAGTGAGGCAGACAGACGGTAGGCACCAGAGGAATGAATGAAGGTGGTTGGGGCAGTATAAGGAGCACGTGCTTTAAATCCCACAGCCCCAAGCCTGCACTCTACCTGGGAGGGCAAATTCCCCACCCTATCTGTGCCTCAGTCTTTCATGCACCATGTGAGGACGAGGCAGCTTTCACTCCCCAGACTGACAGAACTAAATGCAGGAACCCCAGTGCATGATACCACGTAGGAGACTCTGGTAGGGAGCTCCCTGACTCACCTCGCCATCCACCTTCATGTACACAGTGGGCACCACCTTCACAAAGTACTGGAACATCATGGAAGCTGAGGGGAAAACAAAGCACTGGGCATGAGTACCCGGCAGGTCTTCCGAAGCTGGGGGCTGCCTCCTGGGCTGGTACCTTGGGGTGCAGTGACATTGGTGTGGTCCAGGGGGTTCACAATGCCTGGATAGTCCTCCCCAAATGACAGGTGCTGGATGTAGTGGGTCATGTTGATCTGTAAACAACACCATCCAAAGCTCTGATGACAGCAGCAGACAGGGGCACCTGGGTCTGTCTGCAGAGATGTGGGAGGAAGGGGAGGCAGGCCCTCTCTGGAAGAAGGCTATGGCCATAATGGGACAACCTCCCCGAGGCAGGTATCCCCACTCCCTACCTAGAAACTCTTTCTTGCACAGCCTGCAAACTCCTAGGGTTCCAGATTTTTTTCTTTTTTGGAGACAGGGTCTTACTCTGTCGCCCAGGCTGGAGTGCAGTGGTGTGATCTTGGCTCACTGCAGCCTCTACCTCCTGGGTTCAAGCAATTCTCCTGCCGCAGCCTCCCGAGTAGCTGGGATTACAGGCACACACCACCCTGCCCGGTCAATTTTTGTATTTTTTTTTGAGACGGAGTTTCGCTGTTGTTACTCAGACTGGAGTGCAGTGGCGTGATCTCGGCTCACCGCAACCTCCGCCTTCTGGGTTCAAGCAATTCTCCTGCCTCAGCCTCCCAAGTAGCTGGGACTACAGGCGCGTACCACCATGCCCAGCTAATTTTTTGTATTTTTAGTAGAGACGAGGTTTCACTTTGTTGACCAGGATAGTCTCCATCTCTTGACCTTGTGATTCACCCACCTCAGCCTCCCAAAGTGCTGGGATTATAGGCATGTGAGCCACTGCACCTGGCTGTATTTTGTTTTTTTGAGATGGAGTCTCACTCTGTCACCCAGGCTGGAGTACAATGGCACGATCTTGGCTCACTGCAGCCTCAGCCTCCTGAATAGCTGGGATTATAGGTGTGTGTCACCACACCCAACTAATTTAAAATTTTTAGTCAAGACTGGATTTCACCATGTTGGTCAGGCTGGTCTTGAACTCCTGACCTCATTAGCCACCTGTCTTGGACTCCGGAAGTGCTAGTATTACAGGTGTGAGCCACCACGCCTGGCCCAATTTTTGTATTTTCAGTAGAGAGAGTTTTGCCATGTTGGCCAGGCTGGTCTCGAACTCCTGACCTCAGGTGATCTGCCTGCCTCAGCCTCCCAAAGTGCTGGGATTATAGGCGTAAGCCACCACGCCTGGTCAGGTTCCAGATTTTTTACAGTGGCAGGTGGTAGCTTTGCCTGGAGGTCTAGGCCATGGAGGCCCCGAAACCCCAGATGTACTCCCTTCCTGCTCCCCTGCGTATCAAACTCAGCCACTAGAAGGATCTTTCAAAAATGCAAATTTGATCACATTGTGACCCTGCTTAAAGAAGGCTGACAGCTTTCTACTGTTCTCATGAGAAAGAGGCGACTCCTCAGAGTGGCCTCTGAGGCCTGTGTGGTCTGGTCCCTGCCTTTTTCTCCGGCCTCACCCATCCAAACCTGGCCCGCAGCAGTTCCTTAGAAGGGCCATGCTTCTGCCTGACCTTGTGCTGAGGCTCTATCTAGGATGCTCTTATCCAACCCCAACCTTGCCCCTAGCCTGCTCAGAGCTCAGTTCAAAAGTCACTCTCACTTAACCCTCAAGCTGGATCCCCTATCAGAATATGGTGTATTTTTCTATAAGCACTCCCCACTCCCAGGACATTCCTACAAGGAAATGAAGGTAGCAACCAAGCCTCCCATCCCCACCTGCCCTCCATGGTTTCCATCTGGTACGTACGTTGTCAAGGCCGAAGCTCTGCAAGTCATGGACTAGGAGAGAAGGGAGAAGGTGTCATTAGTAGAAGCAGCACTGGCCTCCCTGAGAGTCCTCGCTCAGGCCTCCTCATTCCTCCCCCTACATTGCGAGCCACCTGCTCTTCTCTGACCCCTCATTTGTTTTCCACCCTGGTTCTGATTAAGGATAGCCAGAAAGGGCAAGCCTTGAGCCTGTGAGAGAGTCCACGCCCTCCTCAGGAGTTGTAAGAATAGACCCTGGCTCCTCCCTGACAATTCACAGGGAACTCTAGGCCTTCACTTCCACCATGGCCCTGCCTGTATCTCCAGAAACAAAACCAGCTCTCACTACCAAGAGCTGATGGCAAATCACTGAACCCAAAGTGACGTGGGACCTGAGAATGCCATCCACATTCTTTCCCTGCCTCCACCCTTAAAGCTCCCCAGAGGAAATCCCATGGGCACCCTGTACCAACTGTGCCAGAACTAGTTATTCCTGCCCTCTAGCCTCAATTCGTCCTGTAAGGAACTATACTTCAAAGATACATTTCAGTCCTTTTTATAGTCGCCAGCAGCCAGGCCAGAGGAGACCCAATCCCAGACCCATCCAACCTCCCCCCATCCTGGTAGGGCAGGCTGCCCCAGAAGTAGGGGCTTGGCCTCCCTGGGGGACATGGCCACTTACTCTCC